CATGACACACAATCAGCCAGACACCATGACACACAATCAGCCTGGCACCATGACACACAATCAGCCAGACACCATGACACACAATCAGCCTGGCACCATGACACACAATCAGCCAGACACCATGACACACAATCAGACAGGCACCATGACACACAATCAGACAGACACCATGACACACAATCAGCCAGACACCATGACACACAATCAGCCAGACACCATGACATACAATCAGACAGGCACCATAACACACAATCAGACAGACATCATGACACACAATCAGCCAGGCACCATGACACACAATCAGCCAGACACCATGACACACAATCAGACAGACACCATGACACACAATCAGACAGACATCATGACACACAATCAGCCAGACACCATGACACACAATCAGCCAGACACCATGACACACAGTCAGCCAGACACCATGACACACAATCAGCCAGGCGACATGACACACAATCAGACAGGCACCATGACACACAATCAGCCAGACACCATGACACACAATCAGCCAGACACCATGACACACAATCAGCCAGACACCATGACACACAATCAGCCAGACACCATGACACACAATCAGCCAGGCACCATAAGACACAATAAGCCAGACACCATGACACACAATCAGCCAGACACCATGACACACATTCAGCCAGACACCATAACACACAATCAGCCAGACACCATAACACACAATCAGCCAGACACCATGACACACAATCAGCCAGACACCATGACACACATTCAGCCAGACACCATGACACACAATCAGACAGACACCATGACACAATCAGCCAGACACCATAACACACAATCAGCCAGACACCATGACACACAATCAGACAGGCACCATGACACACAATCAGGCACACACCATGACACACAATCAGACAGGCACCATAATACACAATCAGCCAGGCACCATGACACACAATCAGACAGGCACCATGACACACAATCAGGCACACACCATGACACACAATCAGACAGGCACCATAATACACAATCAGCCAGACACCATGACACACAATCAGACAGGCACCATGACACACAATCAGACAGGCACCATGACACACAATCAGCCAGGCACCATGACACACAATAAGCCAGGCACTATAAGACAAAATCAGACAGACACCATAAGACACAATCAGCCAGACATCATGACACACAATCAGCCAGACACCATGACACACAATCAGCCAGGCACCATGACACACATTAAGCCAGACACCATGACACACAATTAGCCAGACACCATGACACACATTCAGCCAGACACCATGACACACAATCAGACAGGCACCATAAGACACAATCAGCCAGACACCATGACACACAATCAGCCAGACACCATGACACACAATCAGCCAGACACCATAAGACACAATCAGCCAGACACCATAACACACAATCAGACAGGCATCATGACACACAATCAGCCAGACACCATGACACACAATCAGCCAGGCACCATGACACACATTAAGCCAGACACCATGACACACAATCAGCCAGACACCATGACACACATTCAGCCAGACACCATGACACACAATCAGACAGGCACCATAAGACACAATCAGCCAGACACCATGACACACAATCAGCCAGACACCATGACACACAATCAGCCAGACACCATAACACACAATCAGCCAGACACCATGACACACAATCAGCCAGACACCATGACACACAATCAGCCAGGCACCATGACACACATTAAGCCAGACACCATGACACACAATCAGCCAGACACCATGACACACATTCAGCCAGACACCATGACACACAATCAGACAGGCACCATGACACACAATCAGCCAGACACCATAACACACAATCAGACAGGCACCATGACACACAATCAGACAGGCACCATAAGACACAATCAGACAGGCACCATGACACACAATCAGCCAGGCACCATAAGACACCATCAGCCAGACACCATAACACACAATCAGCCAGACACCATGACACACAATCAGCCAGACACCATGACACACCATCAGCCAGACACCATGACACACCATCAGCCAGACACCATAACACACAATCAGCCAGACACCATAAGACACAATCAGCCAGGCACCATGACACACAATCAGCCAGACACCATGACACACAATCAGCCAGACACCATAAGACACAATCAGCCAGACACCATAAGACACAATCAGCCAGACATCATGACACACAATCAGCCAGACACCATGACACACAATCAGCCAGACACCATAACACACAATCAGCCAGACACCATGACACACAATCAGCCAGACACCATGACACACATTCAGCCAGACACCATGACACACAATCAGCCAGACACCATAACACACAATCAGCCAGACACCATGACACACAATCAGACAGGCACCATGACACACAATCAGGCACACACCATGACACACAATCAGACAGGCACCATAATACACAATCAGCCAGGCACCATGACACACAATCAGACAGGCACCATGACACACAATCAGGCACACACCATGACACACAATATGACAGGCACCATAATACACAATCAGCCAGGCACTATAAGACACAATCAGACAGACACCATAAGACACAATCAGCCAGACACCATGACACACAATCAGCCAGACACCATGACACACATTCAGCCAGACACCATAACACATAATCAGCCAGACACCATGACACACAATCAGCCAGACACCATGACACACATTCAGCCAGACACCATGACACACAATCAGACAGACACCATAAGACACAATCAGCCAGACACCATGACACACAATCAGCCAGACACCATGACACACATTCAGCCAGACACCATAACACACAATCAGCCAGACACCATGACACACATTCAGACAGACACCATAAGACACAATCAGCCAGACACCATAACACACAATCAGACAGACACCATGACACACATTCAGACAGACACCATGACACACATTCAGCCAGACACCATAAGACACAATCAGCCAGACACCATGACACACAATCAGACAGACACCATGACACACAATGAGCCTGGCACCATGACACACAATCAGACAGGCACCATGACACACAATCAGACAGACACCATGACACACAATCAGCCAGACACCATGACACACAATCAGACAGGCACCATGACACACAATCAGCCAGACACCATGACACACAATCAGCCTGGCACCATAAGACACCATCAGCCTGGCACCATAAGACACAATCAGCCAGGCACCATAAGACACAATCAGCCTGGCACCATAATACACAATCAGCCAGGCACTATAAGACACAATCAGACAGACACCATAAGACACAATCAGCCAGACACCATGACACACAATCAGCAAGACACCATGACACACATTCAGCCAGAAACCATAACACACAATCAGCCAGACACCATGACACACAATCAGCCAGACACCATGACACACATTCAGACAGACACCATAAGACACAATCAGCCAGACACCATAACACACAATCAGCCAGACACCATGACACACAATCAGACAGACACCATAAGACACAATCAGCCAGACACCATGACACACAATCAGCCAGACACCATGACACACCATCAGCCAGACACCATGACACACAATCAGACAGACACCATAACACACAATCAGCCAGGCACCATAACACACAATCAGCCAGACACCATGACACACAATCAGACAGACACAATGACACACAATCAGCCAGACACCATGACACACAATCAGCCAGACACCATGACACACAATCAGACAGGCACCATAAGACACAATCAGCCAGGCACCATAACACACAATCAGCCAGACACCATGACACACAATCAGCCAGACACCATAAGGCACAATCAGCCAGGCACCATAAGACACAATCAGCCAGACACCATAACACACAATCAGCCTGGCACCATAAGGCACAATCAGCCAGGCACCATGACACACAATCAGCCTGGCACCATAAGACACCATCAGCCTGGCACCATAAGACACAATCAGCCAGGCACCATAAGACACAATCAGCCTGGCACCATAAGACACAATCAGCCAGACACCATGACACACAATCAGCCAGACACCATGACACACATTCAGCAAGACACCATGACACACAACAGACAGGCACCATAACACACAATCAGCCAGACACCATGACACACAATCAGACAGGCACCATAACACACAATCAGCCAGACACCATGACACACAATCAGCCAGGCACCATGACACACAATCAGCCTGGCACCATAAGACACCATCAGCCTGGCACCATAAGACACAATCAGCCAGGCACCATAAGACGCAATCAGCCAGACACCATGACATACAATCAGCCAGACAACATGCCACACATTCAGCAAGACACCATGACACACATTCACCCAGACACCATGACACACAATCAGCCAGACACCATGACACACAATCAGACAGGCACCATGACACACAATCAGCCAGGCACCATGACACTCATTCAGCCAGACACCATGACACACAATCAGCGAGACAACATGCCACACATTCAGCAAGACACCATGACACACATTCACCCAGACACCATGACACACAATCAGCCAGACACCATGACACACAATCAGACAGGCACCATGACACACATCAGCCAACAACTCTATTCTCATTGTATGAATTTTCATTTCTGGCATGCTCAAGGGACGCAACTCTGCACTCAATGCCTGGGGAGACATTCATCTGGACCAGTAACCTTCTGCAGTAAAAACTCACAAACTGGAACTCACATTTTGCCAAGTCCTGTTCTCACAACAACTAAATGTTACTGCTAGGCAGAGGTGACTTGCAGTTCACTGACATCAGGACCAATACACAAGAAGAGGTTTTAATATGCAGTTTTACATTTTTGCATTGAATGAAATACCCTTGAATTAAAGAAAAACTAAAGACCTTATACAAATCCTAACTTTTTAACAAAAAAATTAAAAATCCAAAGAGATGGGGTGGGGGGTCTCATAGCAATGAACTCACACGTCTCCCATCTCGATATGCCATCGTCCCGATCTGTGGCCGGATTGTGGTAACTGAAAGACAGATGTAAAAGAAAGTTTTACCTTTCTGACAAACAAATGACAAAGGAAAACCATCACCATAACACAACAGTAACTCCTCCAACATGACGAGACTGCCATGACACACCGTACCCATGTTGGGAATCAAACCCAGGTTTGGAGGGTGATGAGCTAACACTTGAGCCAATTGGCTACCCCACCCCAAATACAACCAAATCAGTTTTTAATCCAATTGGAAATTCTGCAGCAAGTTTTTCAATGCCAGTTAAACTTACAACCACATCAACTTACAAGGGTAGTCAGCAATCTTGGGCTTTGCTCTTGATACGGACCCAAGAAAGGTTGACTTTCCTGCATTAGGAAAACTGCAACAGTAAATAATTTTTTAATGTGAAGTTTACACAATATACACCTTTTCCATTGGACGAGAGGTCTGTCACATGACCGCGAAATTGACACAATTTGATGTACTTACAGATTCTTGCAGAACCTCTGGGAATTCCCTAGTGACGAATACACACAGAAGTGTTGTTGCTGATCATTTAGAACCTTTAATCTTGAGCTCAGTGTTTTAGCATGCATTAAGAAATGTCAGAGAGTTTGATTGCATGATCGTTCAAGTATATCCACGCAACGACCAATCCTAGAGAGAAAAAGCGAAGAAACTCTGACGTTCATACAGGTTGGCCCTCACTCCATGAAGGTTCATACTCCAATGAACTCACTCAAAGTGAAAATCAATTCTTAAATAATATTCACGGGTATAGAAATATCAAATTTGCGAACAGAAAAATATCACCAGTTCAGAGACAAAGTCTTCTTGTTGAGATTATTGATCCGAAATTGTTTTTTTTATCACAAAACACAAGATGTGAATGTATTTCCTAACCTGCTAACAGGAATATTGAATATGTCCATTGCAAGGCCGTCATCAAACAAATAACATACATTATGAGCAGCCAGTACAAAAGACCATGACCAACCAATCAGAGAGCGCGTACTAAAGAGTGATGGACATAAGCTCCCATGACTTATGAGTCAGTCAGGTGAGCTACAAATCCCAGACACTCCACCATTAATTCCTTACCAGTAATAAAAAGGCACAAAGTAAGCAGGGCTCACTACTACCCCCACTAGACTACAAACATATTTCAAAATATGAAAAAAATCATATTTTTCAAAAAATACACATACAGTTAAGTCTCGTTAATCCGACACTCGTTAATCCGACACTCGGCTTTATCCGACACAAATGATGGGAACCGATTGATTCAGCGCTATTTAGTCCCCTTAATCCGACATTCTCGCACTCCGACTCCGACACACCTAATTTGCAACGAATTACCGAAATCACCCATTAATCAGTCTCTTTAATCCGACACAGTGGTCAGTGTACTCCGTGGTCATCTGCCCGCGAGTACACAACCCCGTGTTTTGACCCGCACTGGCTGCAGAGATTAACTTTAACAATTAACACTTGATGCCTGGATCATAAAGAATTTCAAGCTTTATTATAAGAAACAAATGAAATTACACCTCGACAATGTTGATGCTGAAGAACCACCAGCCCTAGACGTCAAGCGAACAGGGGACTTTGAGAAATGTGCCTTCAAAATGTGAGAAACAGAAAACACTGACAGACTATTTTAAGTAGATGAAGCAAGTTGTTAAGATAGTAGCACTTGCATTTACAAGAGGAAACACACGGTTATTATCTATCGTGAAGATGTCCGATTTTCGATCACAAATCACTTAATTTCGTTAATCCGACATACTCGTTAATCCGACACAATCATGTGCAACCAACGATGTCGGATTAACGAGACTTGACTGTATTCTGATCTAACTTTTCTATTAGTATGGAAACTGTTTCCTAAATTTGAAAAGAATAAAAGCAGCAGTTTTCAAGGTATAGGTCGCACAAATGTTTAAGCAAAAAGATTCTTAGTAAAATAATAAGTTTTTTGCGCCCATTACAAAATATGGGCCCATTTACAAAATATGAATGTTTGACAAATTATAGTGTTTACACTATGTTACTCTTCCTTTTCATCATGACACGGGAAACAACATTCTGAATGACGATGGACTGTTCTGACAGGTGTGCCATACTTCACATGACTACTATGTGGACAAGTCGGACGCACGCACTGTCGAGCCGGAAGCTTTGATGTCACACCTCTCGTTATAACACAGTAATACATCACTAAAGCTGAAAACCTAGATATTTACTTAATTAAAAGTAAGAGTATTTTTTTTTAATGCATTTTTTTGTGGAGGACAATTTCTTTTTTTCAGAAAGCATAATAATTCTTTCAAGCATTATCATTACCCCACACACACCTGCCTACCCCCACACAAACCCACCCATCCCAACATATCAAATAGTCGGCTCATGACAACACGGTAAACAGTTTGAGCACACTCACCCCACCAGCCCGATGTCCGCGATGAGCTTCAGATCCAGGACCACCGTGTGTGCTTCGCCTTTCTTGCCAAGGAACCGGTTACCAGAGTTACCTCCCCTTCCACCATGTGCAACAACAATCTCTTGGCCAGGCTCATTCACTTCACCTTCCAAACAGAAAATATACTAGTAAGTAGTATATATACAATCAGTAGGGCTGGGATGGGTAACTCGGGTACCTGGGTCGGGTCAGTACTGAGTAGGACCCGGGTACCCACAGGACTACCCGGACCCGTGGTTATTCATGTGATAAGTTGTTTAATGGCAAAAATTATCTAGAACTCTATGGTTGCACTACAAGTCACTAATGTTCGCATTTCTTTCTGAGTATGCACCCATTCCTTCTGATTTTTCATATGGCTGAATAAAGGTATAACTTGATTCAACTTCAGTGTATGAATGACCAGATTGTTTAATACATGTATCTAAATATGTTTTGCCAGGTCTATCCTAAAAATGTTCCAAATCGGTCATTTTGAGACATCTCCTGAGACCTACAGTGGGTACCCGGGTAGGGTCGGGTAATAGGGGGGTGGGTACCCGGGTAGTAAATTTGGACTCGTCCCAGCCCTTACAATCAGGCTTCTCACGGTTCAGTCAGTGGACTAACTTTTGCATTATTTTTCGTTGGGGACAAACTCAACCTCAAAATGACTTTTCCCTATTTTTAAAATAGTGCCATGGCACTGTAGCTCATCTGGATACTTTGTAAACAGCCACTTAACAAATGTTGCTGTCAGTATTGACATTCAAATATTCAAGCATATTTGTTGAATACCACAACAAACTAAATAAATACAAATTTGACTGCTTTTTGGATAAAAATGGCCATAAACATGATAAATAGCTTTTCCAGTATGACATGTCATGTTGAAAATTGGATTTGAACATCGTGAATAAATTCAGCTTCCATCACTGATAGGGATATTCATGTGAAGTTTCAACTTCATTGGGCCAGTGGTTTCTGAGGAGATATTGTTTACATTGCGAGGAAATGCATTTTGAGAAAATACGGGAGATCAAAATGTAAAATATCACAAAACACAGAATACATGGGTTGAGTCCCACTATGTAATCACACACCAAATTTCATTACATTTTGAAAGGAAAGGTTCAGTAATGGCCATAACAAGTTTCCGCTTTCTGGTCAAAGTGCAAAGGTTAAATCAAGGTCAAATTCAAGTTCTCACAAAAAATGGAACTTTCATGTCAAGCCCCACTACCAACTACACATGCACCAAATTTCATAACATTCTGCATAAAAAGGAACACATTATGACCACAAACACATTTTTCAATATGGCTGCCGCAGTGGCCATATTGACAATCAGACTTGTACCTCTTGAACAAATTAGGGTGTCACCATTGATGGGAACAAGTAGGTAAAATTTTAGCTACATTGGTTCAGAGGTTGATGAGTAGATGTAACCATTGTTTACAATTCTGGAGTAAATAACATATTCTGCAAATCTTTCTACGACCGCGAAACACAGATTGCGCCTGAGACTTGTCTTCCCCCAACATGTGTCCATGCACCTACCTATGGTCGTCCCATCTTCATCTTTCACCACCACCCCGACAGGAACATTGACTCGCTGCTGACTGCCGTCTTCCCCCAGCAGGTGGAACTTCCTGAAAAGTCCAAGGCTAACTCTAGGCCTGGTACTGAGTAACAATCAGACCTCTCACAAAGTCATTAATCCACTACCACTTCCACTCTCATCTTGACATACCGTATTCGACGTTATAAGTGCCCCGCTCTAATAAGTGCCCATGGCGATATTTGCTAATATATTGGCTTGTGAACAATCCCAATTAGCACCTCTTCCGATGGATCGATGTACACTTATTTATTTGTGTATATTATGTGTGTTAAATGCACCCTTAATTATGGACAATTAAATTCTGGAAAATATGCATAATACGCACAGACTTTTCTTTTGTATCATTTCAGGCTGTCAGCATGAACCACGAAATTTACAATCTTTCAACTCTGTTTTTTCTCTCACCAAAATTATATTCTAAAAAGAGCCCCCTATTTCTAATTTTGACAGCACCCTGGACACATTTATTACATCGAATATGGTACTTCCATTAGATGATACTGCTCAAAATCTCTCCCACATGGGTGAAAAATCGCAGTCCCAATTTCAGACTAATAAATGCTCATGTAATAACTGCAGTTTTTAGACATAATGTCAGATTCCTTGAATGTAGACATATATGCTGAAATGTTTTTAAAACTGTTTTTATTACTTACAATAACGAACTAACAGGAGAAAAAGAAGATATTTTTGTACATTTCGTACACATGGCGATTTTTACAAAACTAAGTTGACGTCAAACGTCTTTCTTCGACGTCACAGCACAATTGTATCCTAGCACCCATAAGGTCCCCTTTCTCCTGGTGGGGCACATAGGATGAATCCTAATCAGGACTTGATTTAGGGATCTTGATTTATCATGCACCCGGTGCACCTTGACATGAAGACCTAGTTATACCAGGCAAAATCAGGTCGCACCCTGGTCGCACCCCCTGGTCCCACACATTTATCGACCCGTGAAGATTCCGGGGTAGAATGGGTCTTCAGCAACCCATGCTTGCCGTAAAAGGTGACTATGCTTGTCGTAAAAGGCGACTGACAGGATCGGCAGGTCAGACTCGCTGACTTGGTTCATGCATGTCATCGATCCCAATTGCGTGGATCGATGCCCATGATATTAATCACTGGATTGTCTGGTCCAGACTCGATTATTTACAGACCGCCGTCATATAGCTGGAATATTGCTGAGTGCGGCGTTAAACAACAAACCAACCAACCCATACATTTATCAAAGTTGAAACATAGATGCATGAACGAGTCCAGTGTCCCCGCTTTTGAAACTGCCAGTCTTTGTTGGACTGTCAACTCTAAAATTTACCAGTCCCCCCAAATTTAAATCAATGTTATAGACTATTAATCAGTTCCAATTTTCAACAACAAAAAAACATATGAAAATTATCTGGTTTTAACTCTTTCAACATCATGTTCAATGCAATGACGTCATCTCTGAAGTTAGATTTCAACGTCATTCACATAAAGTTCAGCTACAATTTTAGCTTCTTTTTTTCAAATATTTCGATGCTTCAAATATATATTTAATCTTGAAGCAAAGCGAAATGTTTCCTGGCTCTAAAAATAGACAAGGGGAAACCCTGATGGTAACAAACAAGCTGCAAAACATCATTTGAAGAATATACTTATATGAATATCACCAATGTTTTGTTCAACAACAAAGATTTATGAGCTACTTTATTTGCCGGTCCACAGGGACTGAAGTCACATGAATTACCGGTCAAAGCCTAATTTTACCAGAAAAAACTGTTTTTTCCGGTAAACGGGAACACTGTAGGCTAAAGAAATTTATCATCCAAAACTGGCTCCCACAGGAGATATCGCTTGGATTAGATCAAGCGATATCTACACTGTAGATATCGCTGCAATGAAATTACATCACATTGCTTTGCAGACCATTGTGACGTCACTGGTTACCATGACGTCATAATCAAATGACATCACTAATGGCTCTGCTACTGAAGCTGTTAGCAGTACTTTTTACACTGAAGTCACTGCTAATTACTGTCTACAAATTGAAAAAGTTGGAAGAATGATGTTGGATGATAAATAAAATCTCACCCTCATGTCTTTTGATATCAAATATATCAACACTCGTTGATAAAAGTGGCAAAAATTTGCGGAAAGCCTCGGAATTTTTCCACTTTTATCAACTCTATTGATATATTTGATATCAAAAGACACTCCGGTGAGATTCTCTATATCATCTCAAGTCGCTAATGACTGTGTCATGATTTTACATTGATTATTGATATATTGCTGTTAAACACAAGAGGAGCATCTGCACATAATCTTGCACTATCCAGTTTGATGACGTCAAGATGACATGACAAATTACACAAATCAGTAACACAGGAATTAGTGATGTAGAATGTTACACAAAGATTAGAGGTTGCCTTGTGTGTTCAAAGATCAATATAAAGTAAGGGATAATCCTTGCACTTGTGCATGTAGACATAAATATCAGGTTGCTCTTTTGTTTATGTGGGACAAGAGTGAGTGAGTGCCGCTTTTAACACTATTCCAGTTATATCATGGCGTGTCAGCTTAATGTAGGAGGAAAGCCCGAAGTGATGCAGGTCTCAGATGTTTACCACTTCGGTGAAACCCACGAGCAAGGGTATGGTGCTGACAAACCTAGAAACATAACTGGGGCGAACCAGGATTCGAACCGACAATCATAGGTTTCTGGCGTGCCCAAGGGACGCAACTCTGCGCAGCGAATCGCGGCGCCTTAGACTACTGGGTTACCCGTGCCCCCGTTTATGTGGGACAAAAAAATGGTACATGAAGCATGGTATGTGATGCAGATATATCAAATGTTCACAAATGGTACAAAACAGGTCCTGGAGCAATATTGAGGATGTTACCTGCTGTTGCCACCAGTGCCGGCTGTGAACCGTTTCTCTGGAAAGGCGGTGGCCAGGCTGTACAACGTCTCTCCCTCCTTGCCCTCCAAGACAACATCGCCCCCATCACCACCCACGCCGCCATGTTTGGCCAGGCCTTGTCCGCCAGCGCCTCCACGCACAAACACACGAAGAGAATCCAGGAACGTTACTTTGTCTTTCTGAAATGTGACATACCCTTGTGTTAACTAATGTACCTCTAGAATAGTTGAAAATTTCACATAAAGGTTCCATGTCAGAAAATTCCTGGAGTGAACCCTGCTTACTATCTACTGGATGCTGAACACCACGGCCAACATAACATAATTGTCCCATCGTGTCTTGTACCTTCATATAAATTGCATTCAATTGAAATAGTTAGTACTTATATGAGGCACTGATCTCTGACAATTCACCAGGACTGTTTGTAGCCTTTGTTATTGTGTTTTTCCCATGGATACCCGGATGATATAACAGAAATATCAACTAGTTTGTAACGTGAGCTGTGCAACTCATTAGCCCACTTGTTGCTTTCATTGATAGTATAAGGGCGTGTCATCACATTGATCAACAAAATGAAATAGTTTTGTCTTGGAAATAGAAAGAAAATGTAGGCATCTTTGGGGGTAATGGTGACAAAGTATTGATGTCACTTACTTGGTATTGTGCGACACAAACTAAATATTTCATCTGAGATTCTTTTTGTGACTCAACAGAGCATTCATCTCTTGCTGCAGCGTCACATGCATATTACATGACATACTTTTATTGTTCTCAGTAATTTACAATATGCTATCAATTACACGTGCAGTAGCTTATTGTTACAGTAGAGTAATTGAACGTATCATGACATTGTTCATGTTGTTTCAATCCTTAGCTTTCGAAAAAACATTTTTCTCATTTTTACCTATTTAGTATGTACCCACGAAAACAGAAGGTTGAATTTTGGAAATACTTTTGACTTAGACCTGGCACCGCATGGAGAGTTTCTGGACTAATGGGTTTCCAGGATTATAATTAGGATGTGTTAAACTCATATAAGACAAGACAATGACAATGTAAATAAATCTTATATACTACAACATAACATACTTAATCATGTAAATAGAGCATACTACAAAAATCGTTCTTATCGTAATTAGGGGTGGTCAGCCTAGTGATTAAAGCGTTGGCTCGTCACGCCGAAGACCCGGGTTCGATTCCCGACATGGGCACAATGTGTGAAGCCCATTTCTGGCGTCCCCTGCCGTGATATTGCTGGAATATTGCTAAAAGCAGAGTAAAACCATACTCACTCACTCACTTATCGTTTAAAAATAGAGTTGCCATTTTCGCTGGACAAATAGTAGACGTTTTCGCCAAATGAGGTACCCTTTTCGCCTGAGAAAACGGTGACGTTTTGCTGAGGTGCCGTTTTAGCCTGCACCCTTTAACGAAAACCGTTTTTGGAACAATGATAAGTGAAAAGATTGTGGAATATGCATTCCGACTATGCAGACTAAGTTGTGAACTCTGGTGCATCATCGGACTCCATTAAACGCTATGTACCAGCGAACAGTCGATGGCGGATAGTAAAAGTGGCACATCTGTGATTTAGCCTACACGTATTTTATTTTTATTTACGATTTGACACCTAACTGAAGTCAAGCCATTTTCCTGAAACCAGATTACATCTAATGATAAATATTATACTTTATTGTTAAGATTTAAAATAATAAAGACGGTATAGGGGTACGCTACCAGTATCATTTGCAAACGTCACCTGTTTTCGCGATGCTAATAAAACATCCATACCATTTCTCGAAAGACTAATCGTGGATATGCATCCCTGACATATTCTGCAGTTCACATATATCTAGCCTATCAGCCTACTTTACCTTTTTCCATGATCTCTTTTTCTTGATTTCTTTAGATGTCGATGAATATCTGCGCAGATACAATGAGAACAGCTGAAGTTTCCATACTTTGACATGCTGCATGGGCGCGGCCATCTTGGATAATAGCGGAGTTATTTCCCCTTGGTAACATGTCAGATTAAATGAAGCGCTCTAAAAGTATTCACCGTTCTTTCATCCTACTGATGGAAATGAATAAGGGGGAACACTTAGTTTTAGACACAGTAAAATAATATGCTACCATGGGTTTCCAGCCTTAAGGGCCACGGACTCGAGTGGCCTATTCTCCCTGCAGTGTTTCAGTGTACGATAAACAACGACCACGAGATGTAAACGTACTATGAAGTTCCTGTATGTAATTGTTTGCAATCACACTATGTGAATAATATTACTAAATATTCTTGCATAATGGAAATTAAAACAAATTTCAGTTAAAAAGCATTGAAAATAACCTTTTTAAAAACATACAGGGCCTTTTCTTTAGCGGTTCTCCAAAGACCCTCGCTCTATTACCTCCCTTTGTATGACGGAAGTTCAGATTTCCATAGTGACGACGGCCATGTTGAGTGCTTTGACGTGAAGTTGTTCTGTCAAATATTCCTTTATTTTGCGACGATTGTTTTCTTTGGTGCCGTCTGTCAATGTGCGTTGTCTGCATTTAAAAGTAAACAATGAGCGCCGATACAGCCAACAGGTAACTGATTTTCTCTGAATGATTTTGAGTGACGTTTGTTTGACATATGGATGTTCGGAAAGCTGCTGTAAGTATTCAGTGGCGTAGATGTCATTGAATAACAATGACAGTGTCACAGGGTTTCAGATAGGTTATTTTCTAGGACACTGGCTTATTGTCATTCAAAAGGTCCTGTAGATTTTGATTTTTGTCCTATTTATTTCGTGGTATAGAAGAACGTACTTTGAACGAAATTTGACCATGTAATCCTAATGCCAATTGTTTCCAATAACATCACTGTATCAGTGTTGACAGAGACCATATATCGGTATATGTATCGATTTTTACATAATATGGATCTGGAAATTTATGTCATGTAAGCCCTCTTACCCTCACTGTGCTGATAGATCCATAAACATTAATGTCTTTACCATATCTATATTATCACCATGTGCAAGTGCCATGTATATTATCACCAGATCTTGATTTGATCGATGCTCATGGTATCAGTCACTGAATTGTTTGTCCAGACTCAATTATTTACAGACTGTCATGTAGCTGGAATATTGCCAAGTGCGCCATAAAACAACAAACAAACAAACAAACAAATATCTCCATCTGCAGGCTCCATGTGTGTAATCACCATGCGCAGGCTTAATCAGGGCAGTATATTGAGTATTACGCATCAATAATCAGTTGCCAAAAGTGGTCAGTCATGTTTTATTCTCTTATAGAAACTCAGATCACATTTCTACGATAGTCTCTGATTATTAGGTAACTGGGTCAATATGCCTCAAGTTTTCTAAGTAACAACAGAAGCCTCTGCCAGATTAATTATCAAAATATTTGTTTCTCATGAAAAATGTCAAATCATCTGTTGAACAGTACAACATTGAATTGACTGCCAGCCCTATTATAGTCAGATCTCCATACAAGGTCATATTTCCTCTAATATTTTACACAGATGTGATTATAAAGATACCAATTCCCCATAAACACCTAGTTATAAGAGGAATTGCTTTCAGACAAGCTAGGTTTTGTTTGGAAGGACAACAAAGGGGGTATGACTTCAAGTGACATCTTCAGCTAGTTCTTGATTGATGTTTCAGTGTCTGTACTTAATCGTCTCTGTTACAGTAACCCAAGTGGTGTGGTGTCGGATGTTTCAAATTCAGTGGATGCAGGAGTGGTGCCAAAAGCAAGTGCTAATGGACTTGAATTTCTGCAAAGCATCGGTATGTTACTGTTGCATGAAGTAGGGAAAATAAGAAACATCAGATTTGAGTTACCTTTATGGCCTAACAGCAGGCTCATAAGTCGTTCATCTTGATAACACCAGCAGTCCATACTGTGGAGTACACTAACACACAGTCAGGTGATACACGGTGACAACCGATACAATCTCATTAAGATCAGACCTTGGTTTTCGCTACCGCTACACATAGATCTGAGGACATCCAATTACGGTCTCGTTGGAACGACCTGATCAATAAAGTGACAGTCGGAATGTGATTTCGGATCATGCAACCTTGAAAGATTTAACACAGGGTATTCTGACCGACAGTTACAGGCTTTATGACTGAATACATAATGTTTGTTGGTTCTGTTTTAAAAATTTTAAGCGAGCATTTGTCAAAGTATGTTTCAAAGCGTAGTAGCCAGTTTGAAATTTGTAACCTTAAACTTGAGAAAGCTGCCTTCTGGTTAGCTAATTGTTGGATTCTTGTCAATCATCTCATAGGTCAGGCAAAAGTTGCAAAAGGTCGGTCTGACGTGACCCGTAATGGGTTGTCCTCAGATCTTTTTTTGGCGGTAGCGAGAACTAAGATCTTATGTCAATGAAATTGCAACCTTCGTTCAATAAGTTTGGCACTTTGGGCATTTGTGTTTACACAAACAATGTCAACTTGTGGCAGGTGTGACACTAGTCATAACATGAGGTTGACACATGTCATAACAAGTTCCAGACACAACAATAAGTTAGATGTGATGGCTTCATTCACCTGAGGGTGGTCACAATCATAGATTCTCTCAAACATGAACAATGCGTTGTAATAAAGCTACTTACCAAGGAGGGATGCAAAGCAAAAGAAATCCATGATCTCATGTGTAGAGTGATGTTTTAGGATGTTCCTGACCATTCCACAGTTTGCCGTTGGTCTCTACAGTTTAAAAGGGGTAGGGAGTCCAAAGATGATGACCCAAGGTCAGGCAGACCTTAAGATGCCACCCAACTGAAAACCATTGCTGCTATAGAAAGAAGAATTTTGTCTGACCGATGAGTGAAAGTATCTGAAGTTTATAGGGAATTCCAAATATCGGTTGGAACTGTCGTAACCATTATTCATGAGCATCTTGGTATGTCCAAGGTACCTGCAAGATGGGTACCTAGAAACCTCAGAGCTCAAGATTGCCATCAGAGAACTGAAAGTTGTCGAGCCCCCCTGGATCTCTATACTGATGATGAAGCCGGATTTCTTTCTCGTCTAGTGACAGGTGATGAAACAAGGATCCACCATAGGGACCCAGAAACTAAATTGGAATCCATGCAATGGAAGCACCCCAATTCTCCACATCCGAGGAAGTTTCGCACCCAACCATCGGCTGGCAAGGCAATGGTCGCCATATTTTGGGATGCAAGAGGCATATTACTGACTGATTACATATCACCAAAAACTACAATCAATGGACAGTACTGTGCCAATGTAAAGAAATCTATTCGCCAGAAACACCGTGGGATGTTAACACATGGTATTCTACTTTTGCATGACAACGCTCCGGTTCACAAGTCGAGAATCGCACATGCCGCTATATGTGAATGTGGATTCAAACAGTTAAATCATCCACCCTACAGCCCAGACTTAGCCCCCAGTAACTATTTCCTGTTCCGACAAATTAAATCTGCCCTACGCGGAAGACGCTTCCAGGATGACAAGGACATAAAGGCTGCCACAGGGGCGTGATTAGAGGGCCAATCTGTGGATTTCTATGAAAGTGGTATTAAAAGCTTGAAGGACAAATGGAATAAGTGCATTGAGGTGAATGGAGATTATATTGAAAAATAAAAGTGCAAAAGATATACTGCGACTTGGTCTTATATTGAAGTTGTAAAACTTATTGAACGCCCCTCGTATCTACATTCTAGCATCTTCCCAAAGCAAGGGAGTTAACTGACTTTAAAAGTCCACTTTCCACCCTTGAAGAATTAGACTGGAATTATGGAGTTATATTTTGGCCGGACTAACGAATCTATACATAATACAATCAAAATCCCGTAATGATATCGACATCGGGTTCATAAACAACATGGCAAAGTTCTACCATGCCAAATTCGTTCGTTTCCAGGATTTGCAGAGCATGTGTACCGTCTATTGGGCATCGACACATGTTTTCGAAATCTTTTCATGTTTTTAATCAAGGTGCTCAAGTGATATGATGCACTTTGCAAGGTAAAACCTGTTTGTGACAATAAAGAGCTTTATTATCGATGTGATCATCTTGACTGGGCGCTGCCAATTTGCTTGAAGCAATTGCAAGTGGTATTAGAGGTGGAATCTGATTGATCAGTTGGAGGGGATATAGAAGGGACATAACTCGTAATAGTCACTGATGGCGCTACAATCAAGCCCAGAAATTCCAGCCTAGTTCGGCAAGGGTGGAAACTGGACTTAAAATTTTAAAGTCAGTTAACTCCCTTGCCTGTGTATATTTAGAAATGATGCTTGTACATCTCTATGTCTTTCTCCCGTCTATATTTCATGCCCTTTACGCCCTAGCCATGTGGGTTTGTAAGGGCAAAATATGAAAACATATCAAACGTGTGAGAGTGTGTGTAAGTGTGTGTTTGTGTTTGTCAGTGTGTGTGTGTGTGTGTGTGTGAGTTTGAGTGTGTGTGAGTGTGTGTTTGTGTTCGTCAGTGTGTGTGTGTGTGAAAATTAGAATTTTTTTTTAGTTTCATACGTTTATATGTACAGATGGTATAATAATGGGATTAAATTGTATACTTTGGTTCGGAATTGTTGACTGTTTTTTCCGGCTCACGTTGATCATCTGATAATGTTTTTTTAGATGGGGAAAAACATCATGTCAATGTAAAACTTGAGTTTATTTAAGAACGTAAGTACATTTTGGGAGCCGTGTGTTTCCGCTTGCTATAACGCTAGCGGTATGTTTAAGGGTGTAATATCGAGGAAACGCTAGCGCAATAGCGAGGGACCGCTGTATGATCATGATGATGTGGTTTCTGTTCATGCCAGATGGGGAAACCGACTTCAAATACCTGCTGTTTGATGACAACCTAGTGACAGTGTCGGACACGGGGAAGGAGCTGGGAGAGTTCACAGTGACAGTTGAGCCCACCAAGTACAAGTCCCTCGAACTGTTCCTGATACACGCCAACAGTCACGGGGCTATCGATGGCGTGCCTTGTGGTACCTCCATCACATGCTACGTCACCAAGCAGCTTGAAACCATCGAACAGCAGCATCACGAATACGTCAAGGTAGGCGTAGGTGATGGGACTTTGAAACCAGTAATATTTCAGTAACACAGGATTTACAGAAGTATTGAAGGGTTCTCTGAGGAAGTTGGGCTGATAGGGTTGGCAAAAGCTAAACCAATTTCAGCTCACTACACTGAAGGTCAAGTCTTTACATTCACTGTTTTGACACCTCCCCTGAAACTGCAAGTGCTATAGAGCTGACACTTTGTATAAATGATCCCAGCTGTGGTGACTCTAAAATCTGCTCCCTAAACTCTGGTGTGATTATAAACAAAGCCATCATTTCTTCATTATTCAGTTGGCATTTGGTGGCTCTATTTTGTAATACTCTGCTCCTTTTCTTAAAAAAGTGGAAAGAACGATTGCAATATTTTTTTTTCACTGACCCATGTGGACAAGACCAATAATTTTTAACTTACCCTGCATTACTCCTCAATGCATTGACTGCTTACTTTTGACAGATACAAAGCTGCAGGTTTGATGATGAAAAGGTTAACTTATATCTGATTTGGCCCTTTTGCTTCCTCAATAAGTCAGTGCCATTATCCAATAAGGCTAGACTTTGTAAAATAGCTGACTCGACAGAATGTGTACAAACCGAGTTACAAACTAGGGTGCAGCAATGCAGCACAATCATTTTCAGTTTACTTCTCTGGGGTAGAAACTAACAGTTTTTGTCCACTAGTCCTTATGATGATAACATATAGCAAAACCTAGTCCTTAGGATACCTTTACTATTGGGCAGTTTGGTAAGGACTACAGGACTAGTGCCAATTTCTAACGCTGCCAGTGAAGTTCTTGAAGAACTTCAAAACGAATGTGTCACTTTTTCCTTCTTCACATGAAATTTCACAAAAATGGTAGAAAACTATGAAATAAAAGAAATCCTATTTTAAGAACAATATTTGATTGTCCAGCAAGAACCATGATATGGAGAGGAAATACATACAGAGGTTAGAGACTTGTGTCTTGGTCTGGTCACATATACTGTATGTCATCTTTCAGCTGGAAAACTGTCCATTAGACAGAAAAACATTCATTGTTCGTCAGGAAGATGGATATGTTGTGAATCGAGTCATCACGCAGGGGGAGGTAAGTCACTGTTTACAACCAGCGATCCAAACTAATCTTTTTTGTCCACTAGTCCTTATAATGGTAGCATGGCAAAGACCTTAAAAATGGCAAATGTCAATTAGTGCTTATAATACCTTAGCTATTGGGCAGTTTGGCAAGGACTACAGTACTAGTGCTTATAACTGATGACTGTTGAAAGTATTTGTCCAGCTGGGGTGAAACAGTATGGCAAACAGCATCCAATCCAGATAAATAATGAACACACATTTAGAAAGTGGTCAAATGTAACAAATGTTATATTTGGGACAACACTTTCTTAGTAAAGTACAGAACCCACACTGCCAGAGTCGGGCACCTAATCAAAAAAAAAAATGTACGAGAATCTGTACTTTACTAAGAAAGTGTTATCCCAAATATAACATTTGTTACAGATAGCTAATGTTGTGAAATTGACTATCAGGATACAAACAAAATATTCTATATTCTTAAACATGAGATCATCATTGAGTCATAGGAACCACCAGCATGTGGAGTTGATAGAGCATCCGGCCAGAGAGCAAAAGATCAGCTGTTTGAATTCTGTCCGCGTTATACCAAAATACGTTCAAAGATTGTACATGATGGGGATTAGACAAGGACTGGTCGGCTCAGTATACTGTGTCTGAGTGGGGTGTCCATGTTCAACTGCAGCATGGTGTCTAAGTGGGCTGGCACTATGTAACCAGTAGTAGTCTGTACAAGTACAAGCAGACCCACACACATTACCCAATGTCTACACTCTCATTAAGATCTGGGCCCACTTGCACAAAGCGATCTTAGCACTAAGATGATCATAACTCCCATACTTTAACATAGGCTTACAATAGTCATAGTGCTAAGACTGCTTTGTGCAAGTGGGCCCAGATCTTAGTTCTCGCTACCGGTAAACAAAGATCTGAGGACATCCTATTACGGATCACATCAGAACAACCTTTCATCCGACCAATCAGAGCGTCGCCTACCAGATCATGAACATGACAGTCTAAATGTGTTTTCTAATCATGGAACCTCGTAAAATTTAATGTGGGGTATTCCGAATGACAGATACAGGCTTTATGACTGAATCCATACAATCTAGGCCATCTATAAGCCATTTCAGAATGTCAAGAATTTGTCAAAATATGTTTCAAAACGTAGTCACCAGTTTGAAACTAGTGCTGTAAATCATGAGAAAGCTGCTTTCTGATTGGCTAATGTCGACTTCTTGTCAGTCATTCCTTTGGTCGGTCATCATGGTGTGATGTATTACTGACTGCAATGTTAAGAAGAATTAACTTGTCTATTCTTCAACAAGACCTGCTGGTCGGACATGCCTGGAGCAGTCATTGAATGTAGGTTGTGGATGTTGGTTGTTCAACATTAACATGTGGAAAATGTAACTTTTACAGGATGTTCAAAGAACGGCCAAAACAATCCCGCTGGATGCAATGCAGGGCTTTATTTCTGAAGGTGAGACCCCCATGATGGTGAGACACGGGTACCGGTTACCATATTCACCTTATTAATTTCCAGTTTCCAATAAAAGCCCCCTGACCAACTTATAGACCAATCTAAGTAATCTTCAAAACTGCCCCTTACCAAGACCAAAACGATTTATGTGACAGTCCATATTTGTTCGTGTATATTACAGATGCTGTTTTACATGGAAGGGGTATATAAATGCCTAGTAACTGTTGTCAAAACATTGCAGTTTCATTGAGGTTTGAGCTTAGTTTGTTCACAACTGCTTGAACTCTGAAACAAGTTTTACCTATACTCGTTGTGTGTAATGGTAAATGTCTTAGACCTGCATCACTTCAGGCTTTTCTCCCACATCAAACTGACATTATTGTTCAAAGTGGAATTTAACCGAACTCACTCACTAAAAGCACATGCCACTGGTTGCTTGTCCCAGGTTGAACTTGTGATGCAGCTGCAGCTGGCAAATGGGTAACATGAAGTCGCTCCCCACCCATCCACCAACACATGCACTTACCCCCACCCACCCCTACACTCACCCACCCACCTTGCTTGCTCGCTTGCTCGCTCACTCACTCACTCACTCACTCACTCACATCTACACTCACCCACCCACCCCTATACCCACCCTACCCACTCACTCACTCACTCACCCAGACCCACTCACTCACTCACTCTCTCTCACTCACTCACTCACTCACTCACTCACTCACTCACTCACTCACTCACTCACTGTTGACATTGCAGGGTCCAACCTGCTGCTCCACCGGCTGTTGATAGAGAAGACTCTCCCTGATGATATGCAGCTGCTGTCCTTTGACTCGGATGCCAACCTGAGCGTGGCGGTGTATGTGAGTACTTTTCTCAATCTCAGGCGTATTCGTACTCTTTGAAGCCCAAGTCAGGTAAACTTGGTTCTGGTCTAGTAAGGTCAGCTTATGCTTGTCAATGACATGAAACTATTAATGGAAAACTTCTTTATTGTTTGTAACAACATTTAAGGGAGCTACTTCCTGCCCTTCATCACTCACATCATTTCAGGGAGCTATAAGTCTAGTGGTTAAAGCGTTCACTCGTCATGCTGAAGACCCGAGTTTGATTCCCAACATGGGTGAAATGTGTGAAGTTCATTTCTGGTGTCCCCTGCCGTGATATTGCTGGAATATTGCTAAAAGCGGCGGTAAACCAAACTCACTCACTCAGGGAGCCACTTCCTGTCCCTTCATCACTCACAAAGTTTCATGTACTTCGTTCCCTTACTGTGTGTGTGTTTTGAAGTGTGACCCACTACAGTAACACTCCAGACAACAACACTATAGACAACACTCATTCCTGCTCCTGTTGTAGAAACACCTGGAGGAAAGATCCCAGAATGTGGAGGGTCTGGATTTGAGAGTGTTTGGAATAGAGAGAACCATCATCTCCACAACAGATCTGCCCACAACATGGCAGTCCTACTTTTCAGGAGACTGGTGAGCTTGATAGTCTTAGAGGTGATACTAGGGGCACAGGGGCACGATAGTCGTAACAGTTGATACTAGGGGCAGAGAGAGCCCGATAGTCTTAACAGTTGATGCCAGGGGCACGATAGTCTTAACATTTGATACTAGGGGCAGAGAGAGCCCGATAGTCTTAACTGTTGATACAGGGGCACAGGGGCCCGATAGTCTTAACAGTTGATACTAGGGGCACGATAGTCTTAACAGTTGATACTAGGGACAGGATAGTCTTAACAGTTGATACTAGGGGCAGAGTGAGCCCGATAGTCTTAACAGTTGATGCCAGGGGCCCGATAGTCTTAACATTTGATACTAGGGGCAGAGTGAGCCCGATAGTCTTAACAGTTGATACTAGGGGCAGATTGAGCCCGATAGTCTTAACAGTTGATACTAGGGGCAGAGTGAGTCTGATAGTCTTAACAGTTGATGCTAGGGGCACGATAGTCTTAACAGTTGATACTAGGGGCACAGGGGCACGACAGTCTTAACAGTTGATACTAGGGGCAGAGTGAGCCCGATAGTCTTAACAGTTGATGCTAGGGGCACGATAGTCTTAACAGTTGATACTAGGGGCAGAGTGAGTCTGATAGTCTTAACAGTTGATGCTAGGGGCACGATAGTCTTAACAGTTGATACTAGGGGCACAGGGGCACGACAGTATTAACAGTTGATACTAGGGGCACGATAGTCTTAACAGTTGATACAAGGGGCAAAGTGAGCCCGATAGTCTTAACAGTTGATGCCAGGGGCACGATAGTTTTAACAGTTGATACTAGGGACACGATAGTCTTAACAGTTGATACTAGGGGCAGAGTGAGTCCGATAGTCTTAACAGTTGATGCCAGGGGCACGATAGTCTTAACAGTTGATACAAGGGGCAAAGTGAGCCCGATAGTCTTAACAGTTGATGCCAGGGGCACGATAGTTTTAACAGTTGATACTAGGGACACGATAGTCTTAACAGTTGATACTAGGGGCAGAGTGAGTCCGATAGTCTTAACAGTTGATGCCAGGGGCACGATAGTCTTAACAGTTGATACTAGGGGCAGAGTGAGCCCGATAGTCTTAACAGTTGATGCCAGGGGCACGATAGTTTTAACAGTTGATACTAGGGACACGATAGTCTTAACAGTTGATACTAGGGGCAGAGTGAGCCCGATAGTCTAAACAGTTGATACTAGGGACACGATAGTCTTAACAGTTGATACTAGGGGCACGATAGTCTTAACAGTTGATACTAGGGGCACGATAGTCTTAACAGTTGATGCCAGGGGCACAATAGTCTTAACAGTTGATACTAGGGGCACAGGGGCACGACAGTCTTAACAGTTGATACTAGGGGCACGATAGTCTTAACAGTTGATACTAGGGGCACGATAGTCTTAACAGTTGATGCCAGGGGCACGATAGTCTTAACAGTTGATACTAGGGGCAAAGTGAGCCCGATAGTCTTAACAGTTGATACTAGGGGCACAGGGGCACGATAGTCTTAACAGTTGATACAAGGGGCAAAGTGAGCCCGATAGTCTTAACAGTTGATGCCAGGGGCACAATAGTCTTAACAGTTGATACTAGGGGCACGATAGTCTTAACAGTTGATACTAGGGACAGTGTGAGCCCGATAGTCTTAACAGTTGATGCCAGGGGCACGATAGTCTTAACAGTTGATACTAGGGGCACAGGGGCACGACAGTCTTAACAGTTGATACTAGGGGCACGATAGTCTTAACAGTTGATACTAGGGGCACGATAGTCTTAACAGTTGATACTAGGGGCACGATAGTCTTAACAGTTGATACTAGGGGCACGATAGTCTTAATAGTTGATACTAGGGGCAGAGTGAGCCCGATAGTCTTAACAGTTGATGCCAGGGGCACGATAGTTTTAACAGTTGATACTAGGGACACGATAGTCTTAACAGTTGATATTGGGGGCAGAGTGAGCCCGATAGTCTTAACAGTTGATGCCAGGGGCACGATAGTCTTAACAGTTGATACTAGGGGCAGAGTGAGCCCGATAGTCTTCACAGTTGATGCCAGGGGCACGATAGTCTTAACAGTTGATACTAGGGGCACGATAGTCTTAACAGTTGATACTAGGGGCAGATTGAGCCCGATAGTCTTCACAGTTGATACTAGGGGCACGATAGTCTTAACAGTTGATACTAGGGGCAGATTGAGCCCGATAGTCTTCACAGTTGATACTAGGGGCAGATTGAGCCCGATAGTCTTAACAGTTGATACTAGGGGCAGAGTGAGCCCGATATTCTTAACAGTTGATACTAGTGGCAGAGTGAGCCCGATATTCTTAACAGTTGATACTAGGGGCACGATAGTCTTAACAGTTGATGCCAGGGGCACGATAGTCTTAACAGTTGATACTAGGGGCACAGGGGCACGACAGTCTTAATAGTTGATACTAGGGGCAGAGTGGGCCAGATAGTCTTAACAGTTGATACTAGGGACACAGGGGCCTGATAGTCTTAACAGTTAATACCAGGGCCACAGGGGCACTATTGTCTTAAAGGGACAGGCTGTTTACCATTCTGATGCTTTGTTTGCAAACAACCCTGATAACCCCGAGCTTACTTGGCTCTGCTCGTTTTATTCAGCAACCGAATGTTCTGCTCCAGTGACCACACAGTGGATGCAGGTTGTGTGGAGCAATATTGTTTGAGAATTGAATCAGGCATGTGACGTCACACATGGAAATGATTTCATGCATGATTTTAAGAACAAACAGAACCGTTGACGTACTGTCCCTAAACAGCTCATCCCAGGGGCACAGTTGTCTAAGGTTCCTGGAATTGGAAGAGGTGTATGAAGTTCCAGGTAATTGTGTAAGAGGTGGGCACGGGTGGCCCAGTCGTCTAAGATGCTGCGATTCGCTGTGCAGAGTTGCGTCTCTTGGGCACGCCAGAAACCTATGATTTTGGGTTCAAATCCCGGTTCGCCCCAATTATGTTTCTAGGTTTGTCAGCACCATACCCGTGCTCGTGGGTTTCACCGAAGTGGTAAACGTCTGAGACCTGCATCACTTCGGGCTTTCCTCCCACATTAAGCTGACATGCTGCGATATAACTGGAATACTGTTAAAAGCGGCGTTAAACCCAACTCACTCACTCATTGTGTAAGTTTGTTGATGATGAACACATTTCTCTTTTCAGTCACTTGACAAATCGAGTGCAAGTGGGGTCACCGGTCACGATGAAACTAGCTGAGATACCTGCTGCCATAGAGAGAGGTAGGTGGCAGCTGTGTGACATTCCATGGGCATTCCGTGGACTGCTGGCTACAGTAGGAAGGAACTCCTGTAACTCACATGGACATTAGATCATGACATGCTATAAGTCGAAGGCTTGTCCCTCGGGGAATATGGTTTGATGTACCTTCTGTGTACCCGAGTCGATAGAACAGAGATCCAGATAAGCTGCGTATCTGCGTAAAATACGCATCAGAAATGCAGATATATGCAGTAAAATCAAATCCAAGCGTATCAAATACGCAATGAACATTACAGATATGGTTCAAAAATAAAACTTGTGCGTATCGTCAAAATATTGTGAAGTAATTCTGCGTATTCGATTAGCAAATCAGCAACTTATTTTGAAATTATAAACGGGCATTCCGTCAACGTTGCCAAACTCTACGATGACAGTTACATCATGATCATTTGCCATCACACTTTCTTGTGGAAGTATCGTGGTATTTTTGAGTCCTATAAAGCACTCGAACCCACACAACACAAGTTTGCAGGGACTAGATGAATAGTGTTTTTAAATATTTAACTTAAATACCCACATGTGTAAAAACTAGTGGGTAACAGAAATTTGAATACCCAGATAGAATTACATATACCCAATGATTTTAAAATGCATGGGTAAAATACCCACAACACCAAAACCTTTTCTGGAGCTCTGATAGAATTTACTTTACTGCCATGTTGATCATTTACCACAGTTTGAAAACAAACGGAGATGGTGATGTGTCCCAAATTTGTTTATTGAGACCCTGAGCCTCTGGTATAGCTTAAGTCAGGGTAAAAATACATCATGTGATGCCGCTCTGCTGTAAGGAGCTTGAATTGGGGAATTATGGAATTGCGGAGATGGACCGAGAATGTCAAATTGACTGTTGCCATGACACCAGGTTATAGTTCTTCCACCGTAAACTGTGGGGAACATGGAAAGTTTTGCAAACATCAATGACCAATAACATTTGAGTGTTTTACATGCAAGGTGAGATAAGTATATTTGTCTGGTTCTACAGATGAAGAGCCTCCAAAACCAACATTCGAGAAGCAGCCACTCAACTGGGAGGAGGACATGCAGCTGTACTCCAGATTTTTAGACAGAAAGGTTTGTGTCTGGCAGTTAACGTTGTGTGTGTTTGTTGTTGATTGACGCTACACTCAGCATTATTCCAGCCATGTGAAGGCGACCTGTAAATTATCGAGTCGGTACCAAGAATGGCATCAATTAGCACAACTGATCTTTGATTATATGGTGCCATTGTATTACTGTAAGGCCAGTTTACTATCGGAAATGTTGAACCACAGGTTGAAGATTTGAAGGGATTTTTTTACAAAGACTTTGAGCTGGTGAAAGCCGAATTCTATGTAAAGCACCGAACCCATTTTGAGAAAATAATTCACTTGTGAGGTTCCCCGTAAACCCACATTGAGAAAATTACCTGGGAAGAATCAGGACCAGTGTTTGATACCTTGTATATTTCTGTGTATATATTACAGATGATGATGATGATGATGATGTTTTTCAGGAGGAGTTGAAGGGAGACCATGCTGTTTACATGAGGCATCACCCAGAGTTGAAGGCGCTACTTGCTGATTTTCTGCAGTTCTTGTTGCTACGGAAACCAGACGATGTGTTATCATTTGCAGCGGAGTACTTTGCTGCCTTCTCCAATACAATGCCATCATCATCTCCATACATGGGGTCCAGTACATCCACACCCTTTCCTGCTAGTCGAACAAATACAGGCATCGAGAAATTGCGGACACCCACCCGATAATGAAATAGTTTTAGAAGTCCTGGAATGTAACAGCAACTCTGGATCTGGGGCTTGTCCCACAAAGCAGTTGCAGCACTCTGACAGTCGGCAGTCAGAATTTAGGTATGGAGATCGGAGTCTTAGCGCTAAGATGGCTTTGTGGACAGGACTGAGAGCATCATCATGACGGGTCACGCTTCATCTTGTTTTGCCCCCGGGATGGTTCATGTAGTCTCTTCCTTCAGTTTGACAGTTTTTATTCCTAACTTCACGTCCTGTGTCCATCTTCCCGAGGCAAGGGAGTTAACTAGGGTGGAAACTGGTCTTTTATGGTCAGTTAATTCTCTTGCCTCACTTGATGTCTTGTGTCATGACTTTTAACTTTTTGTTATTGCTCAATTGCCATTTTGATGCTGTGACGGTTGCAGGTTTCCATAGCAATGGTGACATCTTTCAGTGAAGATCCCAGTTAGAATGGGAATGTCTTCAGCAACCTGTGCTTGGCGTAAAAAGCAACAAATGGAATCGGGTGGTCAGGTCACTGAATTGCTTGATGCATGTCATCGTATCCCAATTGTGTGGATCGATGTCCGTGATGTTAATCACAGAATTGTCTGGTCCAGACTCAAATATGAACAAAGTGCTGTCATATAGCTGGAATATGGCTCAGTGTGGCATCGAACAACAAACAAACAAACAGTATTCACACCTGGACTTCCAAGATGATGACTGTAGGCCAGCTTCATGTGCAAGTCAAACCACTTTGTACATCTGCTGTGAAACCACGGACTGCTTTATAGAATCTATGTCAATTGGTGTTTTCCCATTGTTTCTGGTTTATCGGCTGTGACGTATATCAGGAAGAAAAGTTGAATGTCTGCTAGCTTTTGTTTACAGTGACTAGCCTATGAAGGACAACACCCTGTAAATATAAATGTCAATGCTAGAGATTAACCAGCCTAGATTTTATTCCGAAACAGATTCCACTTGGCACAAAGGGTAAATAACTGTGGAAATTATATGAATGGACCACTGAAAATCAAGGATGACATCAATTTTTACATTACTCAGGAGTACCATGATTCACTGTACTTGGTGATAGGAGGGTTCTGTGCCATGACATCAGTATAGTGATGTCCTGTATTAATACAGAACTATACAAAAAGAGGGACATGTAAAATTGTGTAAAAATAGTAAACTAATTACTGCCGTCATCTCAAATGTACTAAAGGGTTTTGTTTGTCTTCTATTCATTCCCTCTGATGATAGGCTTCGTCTCCCCGCAAGGTGTCACGATGTCCTTTATTGTAGTGTGTATTGTGACAATCGACACGTATCACATTGCAACAACGTGGTTACAGCCCCAATAGGCTTTCTATTACGATGAAAGTACTTATGATAGCATGACAGTTTTATCCAAGCTTTGACTTGTTCATGTCTATGGGTTAGGACTATTCAGGAAGCACACAGTCAACCTTGTTAAGACGCTGCTACTTTCGTACTAAAGCCTATGGCACACACAAGTAGCCACAGCGGATGACTAGAACATTAAATGGCAAATGAATGGTTAGAATCTCATGCTTCTTGTACTCTGGTATCAGTATGGCATCGCATGACGGGGACAGTATTCTTGGTTTAACATTCAGTATTATGTCAGAATATTCCAGTTTTTGTAAATATTTTTCCTGGGGATGCTGTGTTTTATATATACTTAACTCTGTCAACGATGTGTTCCTCTCAATGCATGATTGCTTCAAAGTGGTTTTCACCCGGAGGCCACACTGCGACGTGAAGCTGGCTGAGAGGACCGTGTGTGACCCTGTGGTGTGACCCTATGGTGTGTCACTGTGGTTTGACCCTATGGTGTGACCCCATGGTGTGTCGCTGTGGTGTGACCCTATGGTGTGATCCCATGGTGTGTCGCTGTGGTGTGACCCCATGGTGTGACCCTGTGGTGTGACCCCATGGTGTGTCTCTGTGGTGTGACCCTGTGGTGTGACCCCATGGTGTGTCGCTGTGGTGTGACCCCATGGTATGTCGCTGTGGTGACCCCATGGTGTGTCGCTGTGGTGTGACCCCATGGTGTGTCTCTGTGGTGTGACCCCATGGTGTGTCGCTGTGTGACCCCACGGTGTGTCGCTGTGGTGTGACCCCATGGTGTGTCGCTATGGTGTGACCCCATGGTGTGTCGCTGTGGTGTGACCCTATGGTGTGACCCCATGCTGTGTTGCTGTGGTGTGACCCTATGGTGTGGTGTGTCGCTGTGGTGTGACCCTATGGGGTGACCCCATGGTGTGTCTCTGTGGTGTGACCCTATGGGATCAGGCTGAACTGCACTGTGACAAAACAGCATTAAAAGTGCCTGAGAAAACAGCACCACATTTACCACTTGTTATTCAGTTTGTATTTCAGTTTTCACCAGGTCAGGGTGCCATTTTCACTAGGTGCCATTTTGAGGCAGTGCCTTTTCAGTTTAAACCAACCCCTACATGTAGATCTGTGAAAGCACTCAGCGATTGGGAACGGAACACTCAGTACCAGGATGTAGTGTGACAAGTTAATTTCCTTGAAGACTTTTATAATCAGTGGGATGACTCAGTATGGGGATGATACATTGTACACAGAGTGTTTCAACTTGACAGCTGATGTCATCCTGTAAACCACCTGTCAATCAAGTGTTACCTGTACAGTCAACCACCTCTCAGTCAAGTGTAACCTGTACACTGTCAACCAAGTGTTACTTGTACACCTGTCAATCAAGTGTTACCTGTACACTGTCAACCACCTCTCAGTCAAGTGTAACCTGTACACTGTCAACCAAGTGTTACCCGTACACCTGTCAATCAAGTGTTACCTGTACACTGTCAACCACCTCTCAGTCAAGTGTAACCTGTACACTGTCAACCAAGTGTTACCCGTACACCTGTCAATCAAGTGTTACCTGTACACTGTCAACCACCTCTCAGTCAAGTGTAACCTGTACACTGTCAACCAAGTGTTACCCGTACACCTGTCAATCACCTGTCAGTCAAGTGTTACCTGTACACCTGTCAGTCAAGTGTTACCCGTACACCTGTCAATCACCTGTCAGTCAAGTGTTACCTGTACACTGTCAACCACCTGTCAATCAAGTGTTACCTGTACACCTGTCAGTCAAGTGTTACCTGTACACCTGTCAATCACCTGTCAGTCAAGTGTTACCTGTACACCTGTCAATCACCTGTCAATCAAGTGTTACCTGTACACTGTCAACCACCTGTCAGTCAAGTGTTACCTGTACACCTGTCAGTCAAGTGTTACCCGTACACCTGTCAATCACCTGTCAGTCAAGTGTTACCCGTACACCTGTCAATCACCTGTCAATCAAATGTTACCTGTACACTGTCAACCACCTGTCAGTCAAGTGTTACCTGTACACTGTCAACCACCTGTCAGTCAAGTGTTACCTGTACACCTGTCAGTCAAGTGTTACCTGTACACCTGTCAGTCAAGTGTTACCTGTACACCTGTCAGTCAAGTGTTACCCGTACACCTGTCAATCAAGTGTAACCTGTACACCTGTCAATCAAGTGTTACTTGTACACCTGTCAGTCAAGTGTTACCCGTACACCTGTCAATCAAGTGTAACCTGTACACCTGTCAACCAAGTGTTACCTGTACACCTGTCAATCAAGTGTTACTTGTACACCTGTCAACTACCTGTTAATCAAGTGTTACCTGTACACTGTCAGTCAAGTGTTACCTGTACACCTGTCAATCAAGTGTTACCTGTACACCTGTCAATCAAGTGTTACTTGTACACCTGTCAACTACCTGTTAATCAAGTGTTACCTGTACACTGTCAACCAAGTGTTACTTGTACACCTGTCAATCAAGTGTTACCTGTACATCAATCAAGCCTTTGTATATAGTCCATTTCATCTTGTTGTGAAATTTACACCTCCATATTTTGTACAGGTTCCTTCATCGTCAGTGCTTTGTTGAATACTGCTTAGAGTTATTTAATTACCGAGTTCTGCTGATTTTGTTAGATGTATATTTGAGATTGAATCAGACAAGCTCATTACTCAGAAAATGATTAATCTGGGGTAGATTTTATCAAAAGAATATATTTTCAGTTGTCTAGTATTTAAACATTTGATGCCCTATGTTAGTTCCCTCCCCCAGTTTGTACCAGTTGTTCATCAACACAGCCTGGAAGACAGCCTAAGATCTGACAAGATGGTATGGATCATTAGCCCCAGTAAGTAGGGGCATGTACCTCACCAAGTGGAAGTCCCATCAAAATTGCTGAATTGTTTGATAGACATTATGTAGAAGTTGACGGATGACAAAGTAGACACAATTAATGGATTACAACTTCTTTTATGCTGTAAAGGCAATGTTTGGGTAAAGATCCTTATACCGTTGTCAAGCAAGACTGGAAATTGCTGAAGTTGCTAAAAACCTACTTTTTTAAGGATGTTGACTCAGTCAGGATGACCTCGTGAAAGTGGGGGTTTTCAATTCTAGCTCAAAACCCAGCTTTTTGCATACTTGGGCAATCACTGAAGCTTGCATAGAAGGACTTTTAATACTCTGTACTACTGTCACTTGACTTACTCCCAGCCAGTGTCCATCTGGGAGCTGATACATCGACAGTCTGATTAGGTAGCATCAATTACAGGAAGGGGAATCTGTCCACTCCTGGGGTCAACACACAGCAGTACAGATGACACAGGAAGAGTTATGCCCCTTGGTGTCTCTCCAGGTCCTACATCTATGAACATATACAACAGTCGTGACACCCAGTAAATGCAGATAGATATGTTTATCTGTCACCAGATCTATGTTACCACAGAACCGAGTCCATTCTGGACATCAGTCGACATAGTAAACACATTGATTCTTGATGAGAACACCTCACTGAGTGGGATGTGGAAAGTTAATCCGGATTAGGTAGCATCAGTTACATGAAAATTTGGTCCTTAGTTCCCCAGTTTCTGTCTGAAGTCTGGATAAAAATATAATAAAAAGGAGCCCAGTGACTCTCTTCATTTTCAGACTAGATCTAGACTTGCCAAACATTATAGACTTGCATGGGCTGTATTTGATATATATTTGTATCAGGGTCTGTAAGACAGACTACGGACCACGGTGAGGTTCTGGACGCTGCCTACTGAAGTGCTGGTTCCAGTGATGAATGTCCCCCCCCCCCCCCCACCCCACCCCCCCGGAACTGCTTCCACTTCAATGATCTGCATCTGTTTGGTTGTGCTGCTGAATTTCTACTGTCTTTATTTCTAAACATAATCATTTGTTAAAAATTAATGAGGCATTTTGTTGTGTTAGTTTTTATTGAAGTCAAATTGAAAGTTGTGATTGAGCAAGGTTGATTTCTTCACAGGATATGAATCAGTATTCTAAAATTATATTTGGAACTTTGTTTTAAGGCACAAACATCATAATAAAATACTCTTACTCTGACACAAGTATATTGTGTTTGTATGAAGATATAACAGATTTGATTGGGTTTTCTTTTATCATATTACTTTCACAACATATTTCGTGAGCAGAAATAAAATCTATTGTATGTTTTCTCAGTGATAGTTCTGTTGTTTTTTAACAGTTTCCGATCTTTTGGTGTGAATCTTATTCATGACATTCGGGGGCACGGGTGGCCCAGTCGTCTAAGGCGCCGCAATTGCTGTGCAGAGTCGCGTCCCTTGGGAACGCCAGAAACCTATGATTGTGGGTTCAAATCCCGGTTTGCCCCGATTATGTTTCCAGGTTTGTCAGCACCATACCCGTGCTTGTGGGTTTCACCGAAGTGGTAAACGTCTTAGACCTATATCACTTCGGGCTTTCCTCCCACATTAAGCTGACACGCAGTGATATAACTGGAATACTGTTAAAAGCGGCGTAAACCCAACTCACTCACACTATTCATGACATTCACTCACATCTGTCATGTAAGTTCTCCTTCAACACCTCTCTAACTGGACAAATCACCTGTATACACGTTGGTCACCACAATTCCATACTGTTGGTTCTTAGCAACTTACCTCGTAAGAGGCAACCACTTCGATCAGATGGTCAGGTCGATGGCATGTCAACGTACCCAGATCACGTGGATCGTTACTCATAATATCAATCACTGGATTGTCTGGTCCAGACTATTACTATCAGGCTGTAGTATGTAGCTGGAATATTGCTGAGTGTGACGTTAAACAACAAACACACAGTACTATGTAATCTCAGTCAGGACCAACATGGATCAAGTTGGATTGGTTGGTTGGTTTGTTGTTTAACGCCACACTCCGCAATATTCCAGCTATATCATGGCGGTCTGTAAATAATCGAGTCTGGACCAGACAATCCAGTGATTAATATCATGAGCATCGATCCACGCAATTGAAATCAATGACATGCACCAACCAAGTCAGCGAGTCTGACCACCCGATCCCGTTAGTCGCCTTTTACGACAAGCATAGTCACCTTTTACAGCAAGCATGGGTTGCTGAAGATCTATACTACCCCGGAATCTTCACGGGTCGGATCAAGTTGGAACATACAATGTTACAGCAGTTGTGACACTTGTGAAAATATGTTACTGCTAATAGTTTGGTTTTCTCTTTCTGCTTGCGATGTTCCAGTCGTTGTAAAGGGTTGCTGAAGAACCAACTACCAACTGAAGAGGTGGTATACAGAATTACATTTGGAACCAAAATGGCTGAGTTATGGCTATAGATGTTGTATTTTGCAAATATCTTGAACATTTTTAGATGTCATCGATGGTGTTAATAATGTGAAGTTTCAGCATCTTTTGTGCTGTGGTTTCTAATCAGATGTCCACCTTGATGAGCACAATGCCATAACCTAGGCTCCCTTGACATTTAGTAAGGCCACACATTCTTTTGTTTTTCGTTTCACAGGCCCGCCACCCCTACTGAAAAGCTGACCACCTCCGTGGTCTAGTGGTAGAGCGTCCGCCCGGAGAGCGGAAGGTCTGGGATTCGATCCCCGGCCACGTCATACCTAAAGACGTTAAAAGATGGTACTTGTTACCCTGTCTGGCGCTCGGCATTAAGGGGCTAAAAGAAGGACTGGTCGGCTCGGAGTCAGTATACTGTGTCTGAGTGGGGTATTTAAGTGCAATAATCTTGGACGCGACGTTAAACCCAATTTCACCTCACCTACTGAAAAGCAGCTGGAAAAGAATAAAACAAAAATATTGATTTTATTATGTCTCCTGCTAGTATAAATATTTTACATATAAATTCCACATCCTAATCACTATCAGTGAGTCAAGAAGCCAGCTGCAGTATTAACTCCACGGCAGAATGACTTTCATATAAATAAATAAATGATTGACATATTTTTATATATATTTTTATTTCGACTGACCTTGTGACAAAAAGCTGGAATAAATGTCAAAAATAAAATTAGAAAAGTGGCCTAAGTTTAAAATATTGAGAGTGTGGTGAAACGTCTGAATGCCCAAGTCTGACATGGACAATGCTTGGACTAAATCAATCTCATTAAAATCAGATCTTAGTTCTCGCTACCGCTACATCCCATTAGGGTTCACGTCTAAACGACCTTTCATCTGACTAATCAGAGCGTCGCTTACCAGATCATGAAAGTGACAGTCGGAATGTGATTTCTTATCATGCAGCCTCGAAAACTTTAAAACAGGTTATTCCGAACGATAGTTATGGGCTTAACAACTGAATCTATACAATCTGGACCATATATTAGCCATTCGAGAATGTTCTTTTGTTCAGGTTCAAATTTTTAAGCGTGAATTTGTCAAAATATGTTTAGAAGCGTAGTCACCAATTTGAAATTAGTGCCGTAAAGCACAAGAAAGCTGTCTTCTGATTGGCTTATATCAACTTCTTGTCAGTAATTCCATTGGTCGGTCAGAGTTCGCGAAAGGTCCGTCTGACGTGACCTGTAATGGGATGTCCTCGGATCTTTGTTTAGCGGCAGCGAGAACTAAGATCTGATTTTAATGAGATTGGGACTAAATACACTTGGTCTGCCTCTGCCCACTGCTGCTGTCGACAACATTCACTCACCATGTCCTTCATTCAGATATAGACCCGACTTACAACCGAATTCAACAAGTCAAGGAACACTCACCATATTTCCATTATTACAAGTTGGACAGTTATGGGCTGGGTGTAAGGTTTGAAATAAGAACAGGGCATATAAGCTGGGCAAACAAGCTGATGATTCACATGAATAGACGGCCTACGAACAGGCCTCTCACTGGGCCGTGTCTAAAAGTAAACTGAATTCAATAAGGCCCGGGCTCTTAATAGAGGAAATACATGTATGATAATGTGCCAACATGTCAGAACATAAATGTTTGGAATCAATGTCCATATCACAGATGCTGAGTCAAAAACAATTCTAGGTCCTCGATCCACTCAGTAACTCAAGTGGGGCGGTCGGGTAGCCTAGTGGTTAAAGCGTTCGCTTGTCACGCCGAAGACCCGGATTCGATTCCCGACATGGGTACAATGTGTGAAGCCCATTTCTGGTGTCCCCTGCCGTGATATTGCTGGAATATTGCTAAAAGCGGCGTAAAACCATACTCAGTCAGTCAGTCAGTAACTCAAGTTATTTGTGCCAATGTTTCAAGTCAGTCCCGAGAAAATTTCAGTATTTCTCGTAGACGTTTGTGGACATAGTGTGAAGGCAGAAGAAGTAGATGTAATGTATATTAAAAAAAGTGCTGTCATTTTGATGTTTCATTTTTTTCAATTTCAAATAATTTCAAATCTATTTCACAAGAGGCCAGTCACATGACCACGAAACCGACTTTGATTAGATTGGATCTAAATGTATTGTTAGCATATACCGTATTTACCTGAGTAGTGTGTCCACCTTGTTTCTAAAAAAACAGCTGTGTAGAGGAGGTGCGCATAATACTCTCCATAACAAGTTTTGATGTTTCCCCAACACCGACATTACCTTAACGTCGGAAATAATGCACTATCGCCACCAGAAGATTGGGAGAAAACGTCTACACAAACACCTGATTGCTTTTCCCAGCTGAGTTTATGAGAAAATACACATGGTAATCTTAATCTTAATCTCTGTATATAAAACGATGCCTAGCAGAATAAGAAATACAATTTAAATGGTAATTCCCCATGTTTAGTGATGTATTTTCTTAAATTTCACATCTATATCAACCAAGTTTGTTCACTGAATTCACTGAAGGGATACAATGTAGTTTTTTACTGCGCATAATACTCCAAAAGAAAATTTTCTCCAAAATATTGAATCCCCAGGAGTGGAGTGAACATAATGCTTGGGTGTGAACTATTCTCAAGAATATACGGTAACACTTATGTACTACAGTTTCAGAGTTCACACAACTTTGTATCCCAGACTATGGTCTGAAAGGTAATTTAAGGTACCGACGTTTACTACAATATCTGAAAAACTATCAGACCTACTCCAGTCAAAGTTGGTATGAGATTATTAAACAGTCATACATAACTAGATATTACATTTAAAGACAATCGGTGCATGAATAAAAAATCTGTCTATTTAGCTATCACTATATTTCATTAACAACCAGACCTGTTCGTCACGGGTGGAAAGAGCATTCATTGAAACAGCCATCTGCATAATGCTACCCCTGCGTCACAGGGCCATATGACACAGTTGAACCAATCAACTCAACTCGAAAGGGTGCACGGGAATCACGCACGCACGAATACGGTGTTAGCGTTGGGCGTCTCGATGTGCGTGATACCTGTGCACCCATTAATTAAAATGTAACATTTTCTCCAATTTCAAATGATTGGAACTTAATTGTAGAAAGATTTCTCGGACCAACACATGGCAAGTTCCAAGATTCGAGGAATTTAAGTACAGGAATCCTTCCAGTGACGTGTGTATCAGGACTTGGCAAGATGGCTGCCAGGGTACAGCTTGCTGAATCTCCCGAGCGTCCAGATGGGGAAGATGTTCCGGTAGCTGGTGTAGCTGATGGCGCAGGATTTGTTGAACACGCCACTGATGTTCTCCTGGAATAATCATTTATATTGCATGATCATAAAAGCCTGGTCGCAAATAATCTTAACCTGGTGACGAGGGATAAAGCATAGGTGTATAATCGTCAACCATACACGTAAGTGAAAAGGAAAACACACATCCCCTAGGAGTGAGTGAGTGAGTTTGGTTTTACGCCCCTTTTTGCCATATTCCAGCAATATCACCGTGGGCATACCAGAAATGGGCTTCTCACATTGTACCCATGTCGGTAATCGAACCCAGGTCTTCAGCGTGATGAGCAAAGGCTTTAACCACTAGGCTACCCCAACGCCCCTAGGAAATGGACCAGACCCACGTAGGCCGGCCTGTACAAGGATTACATTCTTCTGTTCAAATGGTTCACCATGTATAATTATAGAGTTGACAGCACAACTGATTGTAATGTAAGAAGTTGAAGGTCGTACCTGCGGCCAGTCTCCATTGTCCAGTTGTCGGTCCATCAGTAGTCGCACCCCTTTCTCTATCACGTCCACCCCCGGGTATCTGCAGGAGTGAATGAGTGAGTTGAGTTGAGTTGAGATGAGGTGAGTTGAGGTGAGGTTAGTGAGTGAGTGAGTGAGTGAGTGAATTGGGTTTAACGCCGCTTTTAACAGTATTCCAGTTATATCGCGGCGTGTCAGCTTAATGTGGGAGGAAAGCCTGAAGTGATGCAGGTCTCAGACGTTTACCACTTCGGTGAAACCCACGAGCACGGGTATGGTGCTGACAAACCTGCAAACATAATCGTGAGGTGAGGTGAGGTGAGGTGAGGTGAGGTGAGGTGAGGTGAGGTGAGTGAGTCAGTGAAGGTGAATGAGTGAGTTGTATATCTTCATGTGAGTGAGCTGTATGTCTGCATGTGTGTTGGTGGAACAAAGTGTATACAAACCTGTGAAGTATTGATGTGTGTTCAATATACTACATTCTCCCATCAATACAGCCGTTTTGCTCTTTACTCAGTAAAGAATCAAGCAACAGCCTTGTTCACAGGGGAGGGGACCAGCCATTGCTGTCACCAGTGATCACTCAGATTACATCCCACACTATGTACCATGCCCCCCGCCTTGCAGCCATGAATTACTTCATTACTTGACTACACACAGACACATGGAGATAAGTCTGGGACAAGTCCAAATTTACTCCCCAGGTACCCATCCCGTATTACCCGACCCCACCCGGGTACCCACCCCTTATTACCCGACCCTACCCGGGTCCCCACCCCCCTATTACCCGACCCTAGCCGGGTACCCCTCCCCCTATTATCCGACCCTAGCCGGGTACCCACCCCCCTATTACCCGACCCTAGCCGGGTACCCCTCCCCCTATTATCCGACCCTACCCGGGTACTCACCCCCTATTACCCGACCCTACCCGGGTACCCACCCCCCTATTACCCAACCCTACCCGGGTACCCACCCCCTATTACCCGACCCTACCCGGGTACCCACCCCCCTATTACCCAACCCTACCCGGGTACCCACCCCCTATTACCCGACCCTACCCGGGTACCCACCCCCCTATTACCCAACCCTACCCGGGTACCCGCTGTAGGTCTCAAGAGGTAGGTACAGACTGTCCGATTGGGAAATGTTTGATCGTAGCTCTGGTAAAATGTGTTCAGATACACGTATGAAACGATCTGGTGCATGCACTGAAGTTGACGGATGTTTTATTTTTATTCCAACATAGTATGCAAACATTAGTGAATTGAATTGTAGTTTAAATAGATAAATAGATAATTGAGTTTTCGATAATTTTTGTCATTAAACAATATATCACGTGGCTAACCACGGGTCCGGGTAGTCCTGTGGGTACCAGGGTCCTACTCAGTATCCACTAGACCCGATTTCTTTTTCTATCAACATTCTGTAGAATAATTATCTTTTTCAAGAATTTTGGAGGACAATGTACTTCTGTCAGTAAAAACACAGGCCCCCCAGAATAGAAAATGGTCGGCCCATAAATGATAAAGTCTGGTCCAAACAATCCAGTGATTGATATTGTGAAGAACGATCCATGCAGTGGGGTTACAATGACTCACAATCAAGTCTGACCACCCAATTAAATTGGTCGCATCCGAAGACCAGAAAACATTGCTGGGAACCTACTGTAAAACTACCATGACAGCACAGCTTGCTGGAGACTATACTACCCCTTGCCCTCCCCTCCTCTCCCCTCAATCCCATGGGGTTGTACCCACCTGACCGCCATGAGGCCAAGCAGCACCCAGCATGTGTTGACGACCTGGGACTCCCTGCTGGCAACGTACTTCCTCTCCTCACACGACTCAAAGTCCTCGCCCCATCCTCCATCGGAATTCTGCTTCTTGACAAAGAATTCACACGCTCTCCTCACCTCCGTTGGCACATTGTGTTTGTCATACCCGAATCCCATACACGCAAACGCCTCCAAGCCGAACCATCCGCCGTACGTGAAACAGACGCCCCACGACCCTTCCCATGATCCATCAGTCCTCTGTTTGTTACGAACAAAGCTCAGACCATCGTCCAACACAAACTGGATTTCGTCTGCCCGATACTCTGGGTGTTTGTCAGTGAAGTGTTTGAGAGCTTGCATCACGGCAGACGTACATTCCACGTATGTGTAGTCAATCATGATGTCCCCTGGGGAATGAATGAGGTGTTGAATTAGTGTTGAATGTTTGCATCAATAATAGTAATATTCTGAAATTATTGGTTTGATTACATTGCAACAACACTCAACCATCACCTTATCCAAACATCTTTGTCAGGCATGTTTGTCGAGAAAGCTCTGCGACAATTTTTAGTCCTGCTATTATAAATATTAAAGACCAAAGTATATTTCATTGCAACAACATTATACATAAAACAACTGATGAAGTTGATTCAAAGAGCTTTTCTGATGATATTCATCCACTCTGAGTAGGGCACCATAGGCTAAAAAATAAAAGAATTGGTTCTCAGGCAATGCCTTTTGAGTGCAGGCTGGCGGTTTTTGTTGTTGTTTTTTTGCTTGTTCAACTAGTATGTAACCAAATAAACAGTTGTCTACCATCAACCTGGGAGAGCGTCCCTACATTAACAAGCATACAAACTCCTATTGCTGCCATGCCCATAACAAGAGATGCATAGTAAAGCAGTGCAAATATAAAGGGAAGTAACTGAATGGTATATTGGATCACATTGTTTTTAAGTATTAGGATTTTTTAGAATTTTTTTAAAATGGAAATGAAAAACGAAATGTGCAGCGGACTTTACGATGATGCGGACGGTGCCTGAGAACCAAGACTACTATTTTTTTAAGCCTAATAAGCCTTGCAGAGTTATGTCCCTTCGTCTACCGATCATGGGTTCCGGACAGTGGCACCTACCAAACACTTCCGACGGGTTGAGGAGCTCCAGCAGAGTTCCGCCACGCTTCGTCTCGTAGCTCGCGAAGCCCCCATCACCGCACCGCATGTCCAGGAGCTGAATTACAGGAACGTCGGGTTTAGTTGATTGTATGGAGGATAACTACAGATACATGGGAATCAAACGGTTGTGTCTCAGTCTTTTCAGACAACATATTTTGTCACATGTGTTAAGCCAAATGCAATGTTAGCGTTGACCATCCAAATGCAGCTAACAAAAAATCGGCCACTGAGATTATGGTAGACAGAGCCCAGTCAGGTGTGATGGTATACAAGGCATCGATAACCTTCTTGAAGGCTAGAGCTGCTTGCAACTCAGTAATGCATAGTGTTAATAAATTTTTGTGTGGTATGCATTACTGTGCAGCATAGAGTTATCAGCCTTGGCTGGTGAGTGACATGCTTCCATCGCTGTTTCATTTCCAAGTGCAGGTGGACTCACAATGCACTTCACACTTTAAGTATAGAAGCAGCAAGTCTTGTGATCGTTTACGTTCAATGCACATAAATGCCATGGAAACTCTAGAACACCACAAGACATGACTAATCTGCATGACAATATGATTCCTACTGTTAGTAAAGGTCAGAACAGGAAGACTCAGTGAAATGGATTGATACAGACAGAGACACCACTGCCACAGGCTAATTTGCATATCACGTGACCGGACTTTTCTCTTGTTTGTAAACAAACACGCTTTTTCAGAAATCAGTATAGAACGGACTAACGCAAGTATTTGGGGGCGCTTTACATATTGTTTTGCATAACTATATAGATATGCTAATACAACTGCGACAGTGAGTTGCATGACAATATATATTTATGCATCAAAGTGACCGTGTCACTAGCTCTCCGTTGGGCTTCGATGACAGCACGTGGAGCCGTACAACCAATGTAAACATAGGATAACTACGCAAAAAAAAGTAGATTTTTACGTATTTGCATACTTTCTCAATGAAAGTTAACCATTCTTTGACATTTGTTTATGAAAATGTGTAGACTTGTCAAACATGAAACGGATGAAAAGCATATGCAATATCTTGAATGGACTGTGAAAGATGTGACGAATCGTCACATGGCGCTGGCCTGTGGCAGAGGTACTATGCTAGCTGGCTGCCGGCCGCATGGAACTCTGGGTAGGAGAGTGACAGAGACACAGATTTTAACTAACCATTTCAACAGTTAGAGACAAAACCATGGCCAACATTAAAAGAACCTTAGCACCGAAAATTATGCAAAATGTTGAAACAATATTGTTTTGATAATCAAATTTAAAATAATATTCAACAACTCTATACTAACTGTGAGAATCATCCCTGCGTGAAATGTGTTCAGTGAGTTTACTGTCACATGGCAACTCGGGTTCCAGGGGCAAGTATATTTCATGAAGACCACCTCAAGCATATTTCTTAAATTCCCTCAATTTCATTTGCCAATGCTGATGGGCCAATTATGAGCTAACATAATGCTGGTAAAGAAAAGAGTGATTTTTTCTATTTCTTAGTATTTATGGTTAAGCTATGCTGATTAATGATTCCCTCTCACAGCATCACCTACCACGTCCACGGCCTGGTACAGCCTCTCTTTGGGAACATGTTTACCCAGAATGCCGCACTGTTCCTGCAGGTACATGACACTTTTCAGCCCCTCGGCTGTGCAGTCCGAGACAATCCAGCCGCAGTCTACAGTACTGAACGGAAACCCTCCCTGTACAATAAGTCATAAAACATGGCTCAGTGACAGATGTGTGTTTGTTGTTTAACGCTGCACTCAGCAATATTCCAGCTAAATGACGGCGGTCTGTAAATAATCTAGTTTGGACCAGACAATCCAGTGATTGACATCATGAGCATAGATCTACACAACTCGGATATGAAGACATGCATTAACCAAGTCGGCATGCCTGACCACCCGATGCCATGAAAATAAATTCAAACCCGAATCTTCACGGGTGACTAGACTAAATCTGTACAATTAAACATATTTCCTTTCTGTTAATCGCTGAATTAATGTATCATTAAGTTACTGTGCAAACCCCTAGCCTGATATACGTCTTGAAATAACAGTGGGTAGCACAACCTTTGATATCTGAAACTTTGTATCAGCAATATTTCAGTCATACAGAAATGAAAACGGTTTACAGATTAAGGTAAGGTAAGGTGAAATGGGGTTTAACGTTAGATAACATAGATACGATGAATACCCCACTCTGACACAGTATACTGACTCTGAGCTGACCAGTCCTTGTTTTAGCCCCTTAATGTCAAGTGTAAGGCAGGGTAACAACAAGTACCCTCTTTAACGTCTTTCAGAATGACATGGCCGGGGAACGAACCATCGACCTTCCGCTCTCCGGGCAGACACTCTATCCACTACACCACGAAGGCGGTCTCCGGGCAGATGCTCTATCCACTACACCACGGAGGCAGTCTCCGTGCAGATGCTCTATCCACTACACCACGAAGGCGGTCTCCAAGCAGATGCTCTATCCACTACACTAAGGAGTTGGTCTCCAGGCAGATGCTGTATCCACTACACTAAGGAGTTGGTCTCCAGGCAGATGCTGTATCCACTACACCACAAAGGCGGTCTCCGGGCAGACACTCTATCAAAGACACCACGGAGGCGGTCTCTGGGAAGACAATCTATCCACTACACTAAGGAGGTGGTCTCCGGGCAGACACTCTATCCACTACACCACGAAGGCGGTCTCCAGGCAGACACTCTATCAAAGACACCACGGAGGCGGTCTCCGGACAGACTCTCTATCAAAGACACCACAGAGGATTTCTCCAGGCAGACGCTCTATCCACTATACCACTGAGGCGGTCTCCAGACAGATGCTCTATCTACTACACCACAGAGGCGGTCTCCGGGCAGACACTCTATCAAAGACACCACGGAGGCGGTCTCTGGGAAGACAATCTATCCATTACACCACGAAGGCGGTCTCTGGGCAGACACTCTATCAAAGACACCACGGAGGCGGTCTCCGGACAGACACTCCATCCACTACACCACGGAGGCGGTCTCCGGACAGACACTCTATCCACTACACCATGGTGGTGGTCTCTGGACAGACGCTCTATCCACTACACCATGGTGGTAGTCTACAGGCAGATGCTTTATCCACTACACCACGGAGGCGGTCTCCGGACAGATGCTCTATCCACTACACCACGGAGGCGGTCTCCAGGCAGACGCTCTATCCACTACACCACGGAGTTGGTCTCCGGACAGACATTCTATCAACTACACCATGGAGGCGGTCTCTGGCCAGACACTCTATCAACTACACCATGGAGGCGGTCTCCGGACAGGCACTCTATTCACTACACCACGGAGGCGGTCTCCGGACAGGCACTCTATCCACTACACCAGAGACGCAGTCTCCAGGCAGACGCTCTATCCACTACACCATGGAGTTGGTCTCCGGACAGACACTCTATCAACTAGACCATGGAGGCGGTCTCCGGACAGACACTCTATCAACTACACCATGGAGGCGGTCTCTGGACAGGCACTCTATTCACTACACCACGGAGGCGGTCTCTGGACAGATACTTTATCTACTACACCACGGTGGCGGTCTCTGGACAGATGCTCTATCCATTACACCACGGAGGTGGTCTCTGGACAGACGCTCTATCCACTACACCACGGAGGTGGTCTCTGATCAGACGCTTTATCAACTACACCATGGAGGCGGTTTCCGGACAGACGCTCTATCCACTACACCACGGAGGCAGTCTACTGATTACGATCATATCATCAATATTATAATTCCATTTATAGGGTACAAGATTTCATTCACCTGGTGAAAGCTCATGGCGCTCCATTATTACCCCTTACAAAATATTCAAAGCAATCCCCGGGGAGGGGTTTAAAGTTGCGTCTGACCTTGTTCGTTTGGCGGTAGTACTTCCTGTAGTCCGGGGGATTGTCTGGGACTTGCGTCACTCGCAGGAAGTCATGGACCTTCTTCAGGCATGGCTGGAACTCCTTCACGTCTGCCGCACCAGTCTGTAACATGGCAACATATTAAAACATGTCTGCCGTGTCTGTCTGTAACATAGCAACAGATTAAAACATATCTGTCGCCCCCGTCTGTCACATGACAACAGATTAAAACATGTCTTCCGTGCCCATCTGTAACATGGCAACACAGTAAAACATGTCTGCCACACTCGTCTGTAACATGGCAACAGATTAAAACATGTCTGCCGCACCCACCTGTAACATGGCAACACAGTAAAACATATCTGCTAGTTTGTTCTTGTGACTGCACAACTCGAACTGTTACTGTTATTTCAGCAGGTAACCTCACTGTACAATGAAAACACAGCATGCTTATCTCCTAATTTTAAGTAAAAATATTGCAAATATGTCCACAAAATTTATCATGACGTTTGTAATGAAGCTAGTACATCAGTGGTTGTATAAATCTTGAGTCATCACTCAGTATAGAACCAAGTTAGCTGATCGGCCAGTGTCTGTATGTCATGACGTCATGGTCTTCATCGTGACGTTACTCACTTGTCATGTTACAACTGACCCTGTGTAACTTCAGGTTACCCTAGTGAGAGTCAGACAGCAGCACAAGATAGATTCAACAGTTACACCCGACAGGTTCCAGGGAAATAATTCTGTGTAAGTTGACATAGTAAACTCTTACCTCAAGAATGGCTTGAACAGCAAAACTGGCATCCCACAGCTGGGAGCCGTTGGTACCCTGTCAAGTGAGTAAGGGAGTGAAAAACAATGAGTTTGCAATTTTCAGCTCTTCACAGAAATTGTTATGAAAGTAAAACTCCTGCTGTGAAGGTTTCACATTTGCAGACATGTATTTAGAAACTTTGGCATCCTGTGGAAAATCATTACTATCACCTGAGCATGGTTGCTTTCTTGATACGATTGATTGGAAGTTGGTGGGTAAAAAAGAAAACATATTTAACTTCATAGATAACAACTTCTGGTGGTTTGCTGCACTTAGCGACGTTTCCATGTAGATTCTTACTCCATAATGAAGCTGAAATTACACCCAGACTCTAACTTGCCACTCAGAATTACAGACCATCTGTCCCTCGTCAAGTCATGTTGGATTACATGGGCAGATACAGCTTTTTTGAAAAGGGGGGTGCACAATTAAGATCTATTTATTGTCTTTGGTGGTAATTTATACAGAAATAAAGATTTTTTTCGAAATAAAAAGGGGTGGGTGGGGTAATACACTCGGGACTGATCATCCGTAATTCCCCCAAGCTGGCTGGTTATTCTCAAGTTCAAGGTCAGGTTTTAAATTTGAGGAACTTACATTCATCTTCATCCCGTCCAGACCCAACCTGAACAACAAGTAAACAAATTGTAAACAACAACAACAACAACAACAACAGCAGCGGCAACAACAACAACAGCAGCAGCAGCAGCAGCAGCAACAACAGCAACAGCAGCAACAACAACAGTCACAACAACAACGACAGTAGCGGCAACAACAACAACAGCAGCAAACAACAACAGCAGCAGCAGCAGCAGCAACAGCAACACCAACAACAGCAAAGCAGCAGCAACAACAACAACAACAAAGACGACAGCAACAACAACAGCAGCAACAACAACAACAGCAACAACAACAACAACAACGGCAACAACAACAGCAACAACAACAACAACAGCAACAACAACAGCAACAACAACAACGACAGCACATGCACTTATACATAGTATGCTCTGTGTTTAGTGATCTTCCTAGCTGTTGCAATACATATGTACAAAGGCCACAAACTGAGACAGGAATTGGTGCTGGTAACCTTCGATCACTGTGATCGCTTGCTTCGAACATGACACACACTACTGTAGATTACCTTCCTTCAAGACCTGTGAAGATGCGGGGTAGAATAGGTCTTCAGCAACCCATACTTGCCATAAAAGCCGACTCTACGTGTTGTAAGACGCGACTAGCGGGATCGGGTGGTCAGGCTTGCTGACTTGGTTGATGCATGTCATCGTATCCAAATTTTGTGGATGTTTGTCGATGCTCATGATGTCAATCAATGGATTGTCTGGTCAAGACACAATTATTTACAGAACACCGTTATAGAGCTGTAATATTGCTGAATGTGATGTTACATAACAATCAAACAAACAAACCTTCCTTCAAACAATACATCTTGGAGATTCCTGAAGAAAGGGTGTGGCATGAAAGGTATATTTGGATCTGAAGGCCAAATTGCCATTTTCATTTTCCGATGCAAAGTCCTGAAGGTCCACAAAACAAAGATGATTAAGTGCTGTGTTTTACAAAAACAAAGTATGTTAAGTTGGATTCTGTACTTATAGTTAAGTTTTTTTCTATTTTTTTTGTTTGATGCAAAATTCCAGCTACACGACAGCAGTCTGTAAAAAAATCAAGTTTCGACCAGACAATCCTGTGATTGACATTATGAATATCGATCTACGCAATTAGGATACGATGTCATGCATCCACCAAGTCAGCGAGCTTGACCCCCTGATACTGATAGTCGCCTCTTACGGCAAGCATGGGTTGCTGAAGACCTGTTTTACCCCGGATGTTCACTGTTTTATGGGAGGAAGATGGTACCTACCACAGATAATCCTTGACCCTGTCTTGGTGCTGGATGAATGCCTTACACTGAGGGCCCTCCTTGTACCATCGCACCAGCATCTGCATCACCTTGGATACCTAAACAATAATAATAATAATAGCAAAAGAAATCAGTTTGTTTTTACATCCTTCCATGACATTTTAGAACCCTGCTTTCTGATTGCTCTGCCAGTGGTATCAAATCTAGGTTTGACCACGATTTTGCTGGGGACTGAATTACTGTGACGGAAAATATTAATTCAGAAGCATTAATTTCGCAATCCGCCCCTTGACAATTTCAAATACTGATCTTACTTCATTAACATTGCTAAGGTTCAGGTTCCTACAGTATTTACAGCGAGTGTGGCAGCATATTTCAGTGTTCATTTAGGTTGATAAAAGATCAATCAAACACTCAAACAAGTGGAGTCTATTTAAAAATGCGTGGTCGTCTCCAAAAGGGGAGCCATAAACTACACAATCGGCTATCCTTACTCTCAGCATGGAGTGCAGAGTGCTTGTCCGGAAGCACATACAGTTGATCATGTGACTGAATTTAATTTTTTATGCTTAGATGCACATTCAAAAGTCATAAATTTCCTAACAGCGATACGTCTTTCCCTGTGCTGAATATGAGACTCACTGTCATGAAGGTGCTGCTTATTGTGATTGAACACACTTCATAATGCTGCACACTGCTCACTTACTGAGAACACAACCGAAGTACATTGACAAATGTGAAAGTCAAAATAGTGCATGTTGAGGTAGGAGAGATTTCTTGATATTAGAAACCATAGCCCCAACTGCGGCAGTGAGTGAGTGAGTGAGTTGGGTTTAATGCCGTTTGACCAGTATTCCAGTTATATCACAGCGAGGAAAGCCCAAGTGATGCAGATCTCAGATGTTACCACTTCGGTGATGGTGCTGACAAATCTAGCAACATAATCAGGGCGAACCGGGATTCGAACCCACGACCAAAGGTTTCTGGCGGGCCAAAGAAACGCAACTCTGGACAGCAAACTGCGGCACCGTGGACGACTGGGCCATCCGTCAGAGCTGGCTGCTGCCCCCTGACAATGTGGTAGCTTCATTAACAGACTCACTGGACCGATGCTGATTCCCTTTGTGAAACTGTCGTCGGCACAGATGTGTTCGTAACACATGTTCAGGGCCTTCTGTCGCAGAGAGGAGCTGTAGACAACCTCATACCAGTCCAGGAAAACTGAAACAGACAGAAGCTGTAGAAAACTTTGTAGTAGGCGCCTTTTAAAAGGCGCCCAGTGACAGCAAAACAATACAGATTTATGCCAAAAGGTCTGACATTTTACTGCAGGGCTCTGCGTTGTCTTCTCCTCTCCCTGTGCAGTATTCATTATTTACACATTCCAGGAGGCTTCTGACCAGAGTATAAATTCTAAATATAGATAAAACACAAAGAGTAAAGTTTTTATAAAAAGTTTATTTTAACAAAAAAAAAAAACAGGGGGCAAACCTCCATCCACAAAATCCTTCAGCAACCCAAATCCCCTTTAACTAAACCACCCGCTATATTTCAAAATATTTTAATTTATCAAATAAAATCCCACAACAATCCAGTCCAGAAAAACTGAAACAGGAGCTGTGGAAGACTTCATACCCCCTACCCTTCCTTCCCCTGTCACACAAGCATCACTAGAGGCAGGACTTACTGAAAGCCTTGTCCAGGTCACACAAGCATCACTAGAGGCAGGACTTACTGAAGGCGGTGTCCAGGTCACACAAGCATCACTAGAGGCAGGACTTACTGAAGGCGGTGTCCAGGTCACACAAACATCACTAGAGGCAGGACTTACTGAAGGCGGTGTCCAGGTCACACAAGCATCACTAGAGGCAGGACTTACTGAAGGCGGTGTCCAGGTCACACAAGCATCACTAGAGGCAGGACTTACTGAAGGCGGTGTCCAGGTCACACAAGCATCACTAGAGGCAGGACTTACTGAAGGCGTTGTGTCCAGGTCACACAAGCATCACTAGAGGCAGGACTTACTGAAGGCCTTGTCCAGGTCACACAAGCATCACTAGAGGCAGGACTTACTGAAGGCCTTGTCCAGGTCACACAAGCATCACTAGAGGCAGGACTTACTGAAGGCCTTGTCTAGGTCACACAAGCATCACTAGAGGCAGGACTTACTGAAGGCGGTGTTCAGGTCAAACAAGCATCACTAGGACAGGACTTACTGAAGGTGGTGTCCAGGTCACACAAGCATCACTAGAGGCAGGACTTACTGAAGGCGGTATCCAGGTCACACAAGCATCACTAGAGGCAGGACTTACTGAAGGCCTTGTCTAGGTCACACAAGCATCACTAGAGGCAGGACTTACTGAAGGCCTTGTCCAGGTCACACAAGCATCACTAGGACAGGACTTACTGAAGGCCGTGTCCAGGTCACACAAGCATCACTCGAGGTAGGACTTGCTGAAGGCGGTGTCCAGGTCACACAAGCATCACTAGAGGCAGGACTTACTGAAGGCGGTGTCCAGGTCACACAAGCATCACTAGAGGCAGGACTTACTGAAGGCGGTATCCAGGTCACACAAGCATCACTAGAGGCAGGACTTACTGAAGGCCTTGTCCAGGTCACACAAGCATCACTAGAGGCAGGACTTTCTGAAGGCGGTGTCCAGGAGCTGTGGAAGACTTCATACTCCCCTCCCTTCCTTCCCCTGTCACTCAAGCATCACTAGAGGCAGGACTTACTGAAGGCGGTGTCCAGGTCACACAAGCATCACTAGAGGTAGGACTTACTGAAGGCGGTGTCCAGGTCACACAAGCATCACTAGAGGCAGGACTTACTGAAGGCCTTGTCCAGGTCACACAAGCATCACTAGAGGCAGGACTTACTGAAGGGGGTGTCCAGGTCACACAAGCATCACTAGAGGCAGGACTTACTGAAGGCCTTGTCCAGGTCACACAAGCACCACTAGAGGCAGGACTTACTGAAGGCGGTGTCCAGGTCACACAAGTATCACTAGAGGCAGGACTTACTGAAGGCGGTGTCCAGGTCACACAAGCACCACTAGAGGCAGGACTTACTGAAGGCGGTGTCCAGGTCACACAAGTATCACTAGAGGCAGGACTTACTGAAGGCGGTGTCCAGGTCACACAAGCATCACTAGAGGCAGGACTTACTGAAGGCGGTGTCCAGGTCACACAAGCATCACTAGAGGCAGGACTTACTGAAGGCGGTGTCCAGGTCACACAAGCATCACTAGAGGCAGGACTTACTGAAGGCGGTGTCCAGGACACACAAGCATCACTAGAGGCAGGACTTACTGAAGGTGGTGTCCAGGTCACACAAGCATCACTAGAGGCAGGACTTACTGAAGGCGGTGTCCAGGTCACACAAGCATCACTAGAGGCAGGACTTACTGAAGGCGGTGTCCAGGTCACACAAGCACCACTAGAGGCAGGACTTACTGAAGGCGGTGTCCAGGTCACACAAGCACCACTAGAGGCAGGACTTACTGAAGGCGGTGTCCAGGTCACACTAGCATCACTAGAGGCAGGACTTACTGAAGGCGGTGTCCAGGTCACACAAGCATCACTAGAGGCAGGACTTACTGAAGGCGGTGTCCAGGAGCTGTGGAAGACTTCATACTCCCCTCCCTTCCTTCCCCTGTCACTCAAGCATCACTAGAGGCAGGACTTACTGAAGGCGGTGTCCAGGTCACACAAGCATCACTAGAGGTAGGACTTACTGAAGGCGGTGTCCAGGTCACACAAGCATCACTAGAGGCAGGACTTACTGAAGGCCTTGTCCAGGTCACACAAGCATCACTAGAGGCAGGACTTACTGAAGGCGGTGTCCAGGTCACACAAGCATCACTAGGACAGGACTTACTGAAGGCGGTGTCCAGGTCACACAAGCATCACTAGAGGCAGGACTTACTGAAGGCGGTGTCGAGGAGCCAGCTGTGGGGGGTGTACAGGTCGGCCTTGCTGATGTTGTTTCTCTGGGCGGCCCAGTCTATTGTGTTGTAGTCACATGGATACAGCTCCTGGAGTAACCAGTGGGTGCATGTTCACATATAATTCCACAATGCATTTTACAAAGTGAAAAAGTGAGACCTACAATACAGCCACACATCTACTGAGACCTACAATACAGCCACACATCTACTGAGACCTACAATACAGCCACACATCTACTGAGACCTACAATACAGCCACACATCTACTGAGACCTACAATACAGCCACACACCTACTGAGACCTACAATACAGCCACACATCTACTGAGACCTACAATACAGCCACACATCTACTGAGACCTACAATACAGCCACACATCTACTGAGACCTACAATACAGTCAAACATCTACAGAGACCTACAATAAAGCCTCACATCTACTGCGACCTACAATACAGGCACACATCTACTGAGACCTACAACACAGCCACACATCTACTGAACCTACAATACAGCCACACATCTACTGAGACCTACAATACAGCCACACATCTACTGAGACCTACAATACAGCTCCCTTGAACGTATATCAAATATTTTCATTATTTCATTACTGAGGTCAAATACAAACTAAACAAGAATATGCAGACTTAAAAAACAGAAAATAGATATTCCAAAAATGCAGCCAAAAAACATGTAGGTGGACAAATAATGTAGTAACACAAGGGAGGTCACTTGGCAACCATCAGATACCTTTCTCAGTGCCAGAATGAGGTCAGTCTCCTTGGCCTTGACCTTCTCTCCATAGAAGTATGCCATGGGCAGATATACCTGCCTACAGTGGCACCATAGCTTGGAGGGGTGGACAGGGATCCACTCAGGCAGCAGCCTGCAGAACACACACCATCCCTCGGAGTTATAATATTATCTATATCTTTATAGCGCACTATTCAACTTATAACTGCTCAAATGCACTTAGGCCATGATAGATGTTACCATTACCCCGGGCAGTGAATCAATGTGCACAACTCTTCATTTTCAGCTCCCTGGGAAAATGAACCTAAGCTGCCTATGAGGCGCTAAAAGGTTGATAGTTACATTTACCATCTCATCCTACCCGGTACCCATTAATAGAGGCATATTTTGAACAACATATGCCACATGTGCTTCAGTGTGGGGCAGGACCGAAGCCCTAGAAACAGGAACATCTTTCACTTGCATATGACTGGTGTTTGTGTAAGCCCTTCTGAACTGTATTTAGTCTGCTGTTTAACGCTAAAATCGAATATGAAATTAGGTCCCCCTATTGTTTTAAATATTGTCTCATTGTAATTATGTTAATTTATTATGACAGCTCACCACATCTCAGGGAAAAGAGAGTGTAGTCCGTCCCAGCTGTAGACATTGAGGACTGCCAACCAGCACTTGCCCCACGACGGAATAGCAGCAGCTCCCCCTGGTGGAGTACAAAAATACACATGTACACTAGTGACACGAGGAACTCATATAACTTAATCCTGTAATCCCCACTAGTGACATGTGGAATTCATATTACCAAATCCTGTAATCCCCACTAGTGACACGTGGAATTCATATTACCAAATCCTGTAATCCCCACTAGTGACACGTGGAACTCATATAACTTAATCCTGTAATCCCCACTAGTGACACGTGGAACTCATATTACCAAATCCTGTAATCCCCACTAGTGACACGTGGAACTCATATTACCTAATCCTGTAATCCCAACTAGTGACACGTGGTACTCATATTACCAAATCCTGTAATCCCCACTAGTGACACGTGGAACTCATATTACCAAATCCTGTAATCCCCACTAGTGACATGTGGAATTCATATTACCAAATCCTGTAATCCCCACTAGTGACATGGTGGAACTCATATTACCAAATCCTGTAATGCCCACTAGTGACACAAGGAACTCATATTACCAAATCCTGTAATCCCTACCAGTGACATGTGGAACTCATATTACCAAATCCTGTACTCAAATTACCAAGTTCGTGGAGTAGATTCCTGGCAGTGACAAGGTCAGGGTCGTTGGGCGGAACCCCCAGGAGTCGCATCACCGTGTAGTTAAGCGCACACCCAAACACTGTCGGCGGCCCCTCGATGTGGCTGTAATAGGTGGTTATATTACTGGACTGTTTGTTTGTTTGTTGTTTAACGCCACTCTCAGCAATATTCCAGCTATATGACGACGGTCTGTCAACAATCGAATCTGGACCAGACAATCCATTGATCGACATCATGAGCATCGATCCAATTGGAATACGATTACATGCATCAATCAAGTCAGCAAATGTGATCAAACGATCCCCTTAGTTGCCTCGTACGACAAGCATGGGTTGCAGGAGGCATTACATTATCATACCCACTGAGCAGTATTTCATTGGTACTTCATGTTAAACTTTTATACAACTTTAGACCTATCACATGTTTAGAATAGAAGTCATTACTGTTTTTGAATTGTTTTCTGTAGTCAGTGAAACCCATGAAAGTTATGTGACATCGAGGTGAACACGAGGTGAACGCAATGCGATCGTGTGATACTCACAGTCCCCACCCCCCGTCAGGACAGAGGACAGAACGCAAGGCGGTCGTGTGATACTCACAGTCCCCACCCCCCGTCAGGACAGAGGACGGAACGCAAGGCGGTCGTGTGATACTCACAGTCCCCACCCCCCGTCAGGACAGAGGACAGAACGCAAGGCGGTCGTGTGATACTCACAGTCCCCACCCCCCGTCAGGACAGAGGACGGAACGCAGGTAGCGGATCATCTCCAGTCTCTGCTGCTCCGTGAAGGGGGTGTTGGTGATGTAGCAGGTGATCACTAAACCTGCAATATACACACATTGTCAGTGTTTACACGTCATTCTCCAGCAATATACACACATTGTCAGTGTTTACACGTCATTCTCCAGCAATATTGCTGAGAAGGGGTCACCCACTCACTCACTAGCCTGGCATGAGGAAAAGGGGTCACGCTCTCACTCACTCACTCACTCACTTACTCGTCCAATCACTCACTCGCCTGGCATTAGGAAAAGGGGTCACTCTCTCACTTGTCTGGCATGAGGAAAAGGGGTCACTCTCTCACTCACTCACTCACTCTTCCAATCACTCACTCACCTGGGATTAGGAAAAGGGGTCACTCCCTCACTCGTCTGGCATGAGGAAAAGGGGTCACTCTCTCACTCACTCACTCACTTACTCATCCAATCACTCACTCGCCTGGGATTAGGAAAAGGGGTCACTCTCTCACTCGTCTGGCATGAGGAAAAGGGGTCACTCTCTCACTCACTCACTTACTCATCCAATCACTCACTCACCTGGGTTTAGGAAAAGGGGTCACTCTCTCACTCGTCTGGCATGAGGAAAAGGGGTCACTCTCTCACTCACTCACTTACTCATCCAATCACTCACTCACCTGGGATTAGGAAAAGGGGTCACTCTCTCACTCGTCTGGCATGAGGAAAAGGGGTCACTCACTCACTCACTTACTCATCCAATCACTCACTCGCCTGGGATTAGGAAAAGGGGTCACTCTCTCACTCGTCTGGCATTAGGAAAAGGGGTCACTCACTTACTCGTCTGGCATGAGGAAAAGGGGTCACTCTCTCACCCATTCACTTACTCTCTCACTCACCCGTCTGGCATGAGGAAAAGGGGTCACGCTCTCACTCACTCACTCACTCACTTACTCGTCCAATCACTCACTCGCCTGGGATTAGGAAAAGGGGTCACTCCCTCACTCGTTTGGCATGAGGAAAAGGGGTCACTCACTCACTTACTCGTCTGGCATGAGGAAAAGGGGTCACTCTCTCACCCATTCACTTACTCTCTCACTCACTCACTCTCTCACTCGTCTGGCATGAGGAAAAGGGGTCACTCTCTCACTCACTCACTCACTTACTCGTCCAATCACTCACTCGTCTGGCATGAGGAAAAGGGGTCACTCTCTCACCCATTCACTTACTCTCTCACTCACTCACTCTCTCACTCGTCTGGCATGAGGAAAAGGGGTCACTCTCTCACTCACTCACTCACTTACTCGTCCAATCACTCACTCGTCTGGCATGAGGAAAAGGGGTCACTCTCTCACTCGTCTGGCATGAGGAAAAGGGGTCACTCTCTCACTCACTTACTCCTCCAATCACTCTCTCGCCTGGGATTAGGAAAAGGGGTCACGCTCTCACTCACTCACTCACTTACTCATCCAATCACTCACTCACCTGGGATTAGGAAAAGGGGTCACTCCCTCACTCGTCTGGCATGAGGAAAAGGGGTCACTCTCTCACTCACTCTCACTTACTCATCCAATCACTCACTCGCCTGGGATTAGGAAAAGGGATCACTCTCTCACTCACTCACTCACTTACTCATCCAATCACTCACTCGCCTGGGATTAGGAAAAGGGGTCACTCTCCCACTCGTCTGGCATGAGGAAAAGGGGTCACTCTCTCACCCATTCACTTACTCTCTCACTCACTCACTCTCTCACTCGTCTGGCATGAGGAAAAGGGGTCACTCTCTCACTCACTCACTCACTCTCTCACTCATCCACTCACCTGGCATGAGGAAGAGAGGTCCCCCGTAATCCCCCGCCCAGTGACCATCTTCCGCCTGTATTGCCGAGTAGAACTTGACCCCATTGTACGCCGACTGCTTCGCGGACTTCGCCTTGGGGAGGGACGGGGCCAAGTCGGCCTGACAAGGAAATTAGAAACATGATACATACCCCGATACTATGTGTCCCCACTGTACTTACATGTCAAGGTGCGATTCTTTCTTTTTGCAGAAGAATCACAACCCTGAATCATTTGTTTTTAATCAAGGATAGGTGTAAGGTTTATGTTTAAAGTTTGTATTTATTTATCGACTTGATATATGAGTGCACGAGAAGAGCGCGTCAAGAACGATAACTCTAGTACTTTTTATGTGTCTGAGTGAGAGGCACGCTCGTGTCTGTTGTTGTTTGTCAAAATGAGGAGCATATAAAACGATATGTAAACTTTATTTGTGTAAACAATTTAGTGAACATTGTTGTTATTATGACATCTAACGTTTAGAATTGTTTTTTTGGTAAAATGTAATGTTTTTGATAGATTATTTATCGAAATGAAATTTGTGTTGTTAGAATGATTTTTGCATTAATTGACTGCTTTATACATTGTTGTTTTATTTAATTTTGGAGTCAATCCTATCCTTCTGAATGTATCTCGACCGCATCATGGAATAAATACGAGGGTTGGATTGGAATTGTTGTTCACTCTTATTTACAATAGGATATTGTAGGATAAAAACACCTAGCTAGAGGGAACTGTGAATGTTATGCTATTAATAGCCAACTGGGAAAGACCCGAGAATCCGAGCGAGCTGGTTTTTGTAATGTAACATGTATGTATCGTGATACAGGGGTTGTAAATTGTTGAACTGTATCGTGGGCTGCATATCGGGATACACTACCTTTTTCCGTATCGCTACACTATGAATAGAAGTGTTATTTGAAAAATCAGTGTGAATATCGTGTTTTGGGACAGTAAGTGACGCGCACGCATCAGGAGAATGCATTTGGGAACTACCTCAGATGGTCACATGGTTTGTGTGGAAAAGATTCATTAATTTATTGACCCATTACGAAATATGAGACAATTTAAAATGTTAATGTTGCATGTGAAACCTAGTTCAAACTGAAAACAATTTATAGAATCATTAGGAGCAACAGATCTGTACATTTGGCTTCAGTGTTTAACTACTAGGCTGACATTTCTTTTTCAAATCTCTGGGGTAAGTGGTCAAAACTAAATAACCATTTAAAAGATACCTGTCACATGACTGAAATAAAAGATAATGGCTCACTTCACCCTTCACCAACTTTCAATTATTCCTTACGGAAATTCACATTTACTGGGAAGAAGAAACACTGGTTGTCCTGTTATTCCACATTTGGGAAATATTGTTGTTACCGTATTCAACGTAATAAGCACCCAGGACGCTCTCAAAATTAGAAATAGGGGGCTCTTATTAGCATATTATTTTGGTGAGAAAAACAGAGTTGAAAAATAAGTTTCGTGGTTTATGCTGACAGCCTGAAATGTTCATGTACGACATATATTTTTCAAGAATTTAATTGCCCATGATTTAAGGGTGCATATTACACACAAGTGCGTATTATACGTGAAAAAATAGGTCTTGTGTACAGTGATCAATCGGGAGGGTGCCAATTGGGATTGTTCACGAGCCAATATATTTGCAAATATCGCCGTGGGCGCTTATTAGAGCGGGGCGCTTATTACGTTGAATACGGCAATCAAATAAATATACACAAGTACATATTACCGTGTCCAGTCCAAGAGAGTGTTTCTCAAGGAGCGTCTGTTCTCGCTCCGGCACTTCTCCATCTTCAATGTAGTCCCAAGTCTGTCGACCTATCACGTTTGTCAACCGCCATCTTGTCAGGTCTGTGGCGGGGGCTGTCTTGTAGGGGCCGCCTCGGTTCCGCCGCATCGTGTTCCCATACTTGAACGGCATGGTGCTGAAGAGTTTTGATTCCTCTCAGATTGTCAGATGTTGGCGCTGATAAGAAACATTATTTGAATCTTATTAATGTTTTGGGACAGTCACCTGGCATCAGGAAAAGGGGTCACTCTCTCACTCTCTCAGTCACTCTCTCACTCATGTGGCCTTCAATTGGCCTAAAGTGGCCCTAAAAAGTTGCACATGAAGCTCAACACTGCACACTGGCCGCAGTCAGACAGCTCTCTGGCAACTCAAACAAAATCTGAAATGGATCTGAAATGGGGGTGAGGTGTGTTGGGCTGTGGGGGGTTGAGGGGTGTGGAGGTGAAGTGTGTGGGGTGGGGGGAGGGGGAGGGGGGAGGGGGGGGAGACATGTGGGGGGATGAGGTGTGTGGTTGGGTGGGGGATGGGGAAGAAGTGGGGTTGTGGGGATGAGGTGGAGGGGTGCAGAGCTCCAGATAAGCTGTGTATCTGCGTAAAATACACATCAGAAATGCAGAAATATGCAGTAAAATAAAATCCAAGCGTATCAAATACGCAACAAACATTACAGATACGCTACAAAAATAAAACTTGTGCATATCATCAAAATATTGTGAAGTAACCCTGCGTATTTGATTAGCAAATCAGCAACTTATTTTGAAATTATAAACGGGCATTCCGTCAACCTTGCCAAACTCCACGATGACAGTTACATCATGATCATTTGCCTTCACACTTTCTTGTGGAAGTATCGTGGTATTTTTGAGTCCTATAAAGCTCTCGAACCCACATGACACCAGTTTGCTGGGACTAGATGAATAGTGTTTTTAAATATTTAACTTAAATACCCACATGTGTAAAAACTAGTGGGTAACAGAAATTTGAATACCCAGATAGAATTACTGATACCCAACGATTTTAAGATGCATGGGTAAAATACCCACAACACCAAAAGCTTATCTGGAGCTCTAGGGGTGTCGGGTGAAGTGTGTGATGTGTGTAGTAGCATATATATCAAAATGATGCACATCTGCCTAACCTAGCCTACTGACACTATGATTAGCCTAAAAGTTACTTTTACAGGTAAAATGATAATAAACTTAAAAAATATTCATGTGTTGTCATTCATGTATGAAACAGTCTATACTCTAATATAATTACCTAACACCTGTTCCGAGGTGATGACCTCACACCGTCCCATGCATTCTCACAGGTACAAATGTCACATTGTTGCGCTGGTCTCAATATATTGCTGTTAATGTACTTTATAGAGATATGCGTTGACTGGGCAGAACTCAAGTTACAGTCAGTCTACTCCGTATATTGCAAACTGACTCGTGAATATCATAAATCCATCAATATCAAGTATTTTGTAAATAACATAATTAAAATGATGCAAAATTATATGCCTTTTATAAACCATTGAACTGAATTTAATGAAACAACAAAAACACAAAATATTCTTTTTCTTATAGGTAACTTACAGCTGCATCGTTTAACTTCGGGGAGAATCCCTGAAACTATGTACACTTTACTTCACCGTTCAAGTTGTCATGGAAATAATACAAATTAGCATCACTACACAATGAAGCATTAAACATGCTACGTGTGAAATTACTGGTCAAAAGCGTATATATTTACAAACAACTTATTAGTGACCCTATCTCCACCAGTTCATTCACCCAACAACCGCTGTCATATAGCTGGAATACTGCTGAGTGCGACGTTAAACAACAAACAAACAAACATTGACCCAGCAGTGTATTCTATCCGTCAACAGTTAAACTACTCATGTTATACCTGGTTATAGGTTCAAATAAAATATCGCCCCAATATGCATGTACAGTAAACTACGGTTAAAACGACCATGTTTACAACAAACTGACGGTATAATGAACATAGTTTTTGGTCCTGGCCATTTGCTTTATATATGATTATAATGAACTACGGTTTTATTGAACTAAAGTCAGTGGTCCCTTTGAGTTTTTTTATAACCATAGTTTACTATACATTGATGAATGCTTCCAGTTGGAGCCGGATTTAGGTCAAGATCTATCAGGCGCTTTGAATGTTGTATAGATCTAAATGTAAATTAATATTTTAGTAATAACAAAATGTATTAGGCAGGGTTAAGAAATTACTTTCGATTTGGGTTATGAAATTTCACATTTTGAGGGTGTGGATAATATAAATGTTGTCACACCCCAAACCCATTGCCACACCCACCCTCCACCCACTCACCACCCAATAACACGTTCTGTAAACTTATAGACGAGGACCTGAGTATGGCGACCATGCTACATTGCTCAATGACTTTATATTGTCGAGGACTAAACCAATGCAGTAAAATATGAAAATAAGCCCAGCAATGCAAAATCTAATGTTTACAATATAATAAAACAAACAGGATAATACAAACATCAATACTTTTACCTTTTTGAAGGTGATCCTACTTTGTTGAAATGTGACATCGAAATGTAAACACAATGTGGCCGATCCGTCTTTTGAACCTGTCCCATGGTACCACTAATGTCAGCTGATTTTGTAGATCTACTGAACATGCCGCGTGTTGACATAGCATCGCCAGACACACACTCAACCAATCACATCCCGTTAAATGCGGGGAAACACCTGTCCTATTTTTAGAAAGGTGTTTTCTTGCAAAGAGAGGTCACTCTCACTTAATATCCTTTTAGCGGACCACAAGTGATATTTTGATCTCCGTGTAACTGTAAATATTTATAAAGCATAAATGATCATATCTATCTTAACTCTAAATGCATAAAGTACCAGTTTGGGCAAGTCATGTCTAGCATTGTAGCTACTGTTAACAGGAAGACGTGCAACAATTTGCTGACGAAAGTCTATTTATGTTGAAATTTGTTGAGGTCTTTTGCTTATGCGATCAGCTGACTTTGAGCCTTGCTCGTGTTCAAATAACTGCATAATTATCCATGAAAACCCCAAATAGTCCCTTTTGTTTTAGCATGACTACACATGTGGTGTTCGTTTAGGTCAAAAACATGTCTTTAAAAAACATTCTGGCGATCCCGAAACCTTGTTACGTTCTCCTTTGAACTTTTCAAGGTTTTCTTTTTTCCTTTTTTTTTTATTTGATGTTGCCCTAGCGAAATAATAGCTGTAGTCAATACAATACAATACAATATGTACGATGCAGCTCAGTGCGCAGTTCTAGCTACATACAGTACAACAGTGTGGCATGTATTCGAGGATTTACGTTCGCTGTATTCTGTAAAGGATTGAGAAAGTCGGCTGACGGTGGAGTCACTTGCGCACTACTGGCGGCATGGCCGGTAATCCCGTGGGGTATTTCTCCATTCTACTATAAGTACCTGGACATTCCGCCTACACAGCTTGGTATGAGGAGTGACGTCATTAATTCCATCTCGCGACCCGTGGAGATCCGGGGTAGAATACGTCTTCAGCAACCCATGCTTTCAGTAAAAGGCGACTATACATGCTTGTCGTAAGAGGTGACTAACGGGATCGGGTGGTCAGGCATGCCGACTTGATTAATGCATGTCATCATATCCCAATGGGGTAGATCGATGCTCATGATGTCAATCACTGGATTGGCTGGTCCACACTCGATTATGTGCAGATCGTCGTCATATAGCTGGAATATTGCTGAGTGCGGCGTTAAACAAACAAACAAAACTTCCACTCGTGGGGGCATCACACACTTTCATTACTAACGTAAAAAATTATTTAGGTTCATGACTTGATGTACACATTGTACGTATTTCCCCTGCTGCGGATGCAGACCCTGAACAAGGTGATGATCAGGCCATTAATATTATGCCTCGCCAGGGAAGCGCAAGCTTTTGGAAATTATTTATGTCTATAAATTGTGTGTTAATATTTTATGTCCGCTTCAGTTATTTTGTCAGCTGTGATGCGTAAACAGCTGTCAGTCCCCTGAGATAGCACAGCTTCCTACCGGTACCGGTACCCATACAACTGATTGTACAAAAGAGGTTATGAATGTCAGCAGATCCTTGTCATGGCGGCTTACAAGGCGGAAGTAGTATGTGAGTTGCCAATAATTGAAGTGTGACAGGCGCCTCAGAAACCCACGATGAACAAGGAGCGGTGGGGTAGCCTAGTGGTTTAAGCGTTCGCTCGTCACACCGAAGACCCGGGTTCACAAAATGTAAAGACCATTTCTAGTGTCCCCCGCCTTGATATTGCTGAGATATGGCTAAAAGCGGCGTAAGACAATACTCACTCACGATGAACTTCGTTTTGGTTTTGTATTGTTTGATTGCTGTTTAACGTCGCATTCAACAATATTCCAACTATATGACGGTGGTCTGTAAATAATCGAGGGGTGGTGGAGGGATGAGGGAATCGTGTTCGTCTATAACATTAATGAGACCCACCAGCACGTGGATCATATCAGGACCAATCTGGGATTCGAACCCAAGATCAGCGGATCCTGGCACAACTACGAGACACCTGGGCAGCGGATCCTGACACAACTACGAGACACCTGGGCAGCGGATCCTGACACAACTACGAGACACCTGGGCAGCGGATCCTGACACAACTACGAGACACCTGGGCAGCGGATCCTGACACAACTACGAGACACCTGGGCAGCGGATCCTGACACAACTACGAGACACCTAGGCAAATGAAACCCACTCAAACTGTTGTTTTCATTTTATTAAACATGTTCTTTTTGTTTGTTTTTCTAAAAGGTTCAAAAGTGACACTCTAGTCACACACACATGGAAGCAACTCTATCACATGTATATGATGAAGAAGAAGAACGACTGTATTCTAGGCCTCCATCTCACATACAAAAGATTTGTAAATACAAGTATATATTAAACTCTCAAATCACTAAAAGTTGGAAATTTAAAAGATTAAGCTAATTTCATTTTCCGTACCTTTTTTCAACATACCATACATGTTCTCTCATTTTTATTGGTACCTACATGTATAGTTCTACCCTCATTGATAAGTACTTCTGTCCTACCCAATCTAAATCTGATAACCATTTACTTTTCGAGACGTTAGCACGAAAAGGTATTTTTCAGGTTAAAGGATACTTTTAAACGATCTGTAGGATTCATATCGTGTACTTTCATTTAAATTTGAAAGCCAATTCTAAAAATATATTATGGAGCTTTTCCGGATTTTTTTGTAAAACATAACAAATAAATAATTACTAATATGTGCAGCATAATAATTACTAATATGTGCATGTGTAATCTTGCCTATACTATCTAAATGTAAAATCATATTGTATGCTATTTTCGGTAGACGTTGTTCGTGCATATCTACAAATATCCAGAATATAAGGCGTCTAATTTGTGAAACTACAGTAAACTATGGTTATAACGAACCCAAAGGGACCACTAATGTTAGTTCGTTATAACCGTAGTTCGTTATAAGCATTTATACAACATATGTACAACAAATGGCCGGGACTAAAAATAAGTTCGTTATATCGGTCAGTTCGTTATAAGCGTGTTCGTTATAACCGTAGTTTACTGTATATGAAGAGAAGAACTGACAAATCATAGAAATCGGCGTAGAGGCCCCACCCCGAAATATTTTTACATGCCAAAATATGAATGTTTCCCTGACACCAGCGTGTAGATGAGACTATTCCCCCCCGTGGAGTCGACCCAAGGACCTGGGGACACTGCTTGCCACAACACGAAGCGCGAAATGATTTACGAGTTATCTCCCTTTGACTTTGCCGCGCGTGATTTCGCTCTCGCTCAGGTTTGTTCGCGACAACTGATCTCAAGGATTTTATTAATAAGACAATATAGATTTCAGAACCGATTATTCCAAGTTTATAATCGAAATGAATCAATATTTGGTGAGCGAATTTTCTTTCACGTGTCACCTTGCTTCAGTAATGATGTGAAAAACCCTTTGACTTTCCATACAAGAAAACAAATATTTTATTTCTATTTCACCGTAACTAAAATTTGTGAAATTACAAGGATTTTTTCTTTCAATCTCCGACCTTAAGGTTTTAGATTTCTTCCCAGTAAATCAAGTGATCGCCAGATATAGTTTTGAGTGAGTGAGCGAGTATGGTTTTACGCCGCTTTTAGCAATATTCCAACAATATCACGACCGGGGACACCAGAAATGGACTTCACACATTGTACCCATGTCGGGAATCGAACCCGGGTCTTCGGCGTGACGAGCGAACGCTTTAACCACTAGGCTACCCCACCGCCCCGATATCTATTACTGAATATGTCTGTTGTTTGTCAGTCACACAATGGCAGCATTGGGGAAATCAAGCCTGTGGTTCTTGGTTTGAGCATACATGTAGTATTGTCATGCGCATACTCCGCTAATACATGAAGTATCAATACTGTATGTAAGGATAGCGAGTAAATAGGCGTGACAGGTACCTGGGATCGGGGTTCGAATCCCAGAATCATCCTGATTATGTTTCTATAGTCCTCGCCAATGGAAATAGAACCGCTAATTGTCGCGATGATTCATTAACGAATAGCTGCATGTGTGCTAATACTTGTAACGTTAAAACAAGCCATTCCGCCGATAAGGTATATTACTTACAGTAATGACAAAAATTGCAAAGTCCGCTTAAAAAATTATCCGTTTTTTCTAGCGATAAACATCATCATTGAGTTTAGATCACGTGGTCACAATCCAGGTAAGAATCGGTTTGTCAGCACCATACCCTCGTGGGTTTCACCAAAGCGGCAAATGTCTGAGACCCGCCTCACCTTGTGCCGTGTTCCAACACGTGGCTTAACGGAAAAACTCACCCACGTTGTGGAGGAAAGGTGAGGTGAGGTGAAATTGGGTTTATCATCCAAAACTGGCTCCCACGGGAGATATCGCTTGGATGAGATCAAGCGAAATCTACACTGTAGATATCGCTGCAATGAAATTACATCACAATGCTTTGCAGGCCATTGTGACGTCACTGGTTACCATGACGTCACAATCAAATGACATCACTAATGGCTCTGCTACTGAAGCTGTTAGTAGTACTTTTTACACTGAAGTCACTGCTAATTACTGTCTACAAATTGAAAAAGTTGGAAGAATGATGTTGTATGATAAATAAAATCTCACCCTCTTGTCTTTTGATATCAAATATATCAACTCTCGTTGATAAAAGTGGCAAAAATCCTCGGCAAGCCTCGGAATTTTTCCACTTTTATCAACTCGTGTTGATATATTTGATATCAAAAGACACTCGGGTGAGATTCTCTATTTAACGTCGCGTCCAAGATTATATAGCGCACTTATGTGTGTGTGGCTGATAGTACTAGTCCGGACTGATGCCGGACTGAGATATGCCGCAGTTTTAACATGAATACCCCACTCAGACACAGTATACTCACTCCGAGCCGACCAGTCCTTGCTTTAGCCCCTTAATGCCGAGCGCCAGACAGGGTAACAACAAGTACCATCTTTTAACGTCTTTTAGTATGCGGCCGGGGATCGAACCTCGGACCTTCCGCTCTCCGGGCGGACGCTCTACCACTTGACCACGGAGGCGGTCTGAGGAGGAAAGCTGAAGTGATGGTTTTATACGGAATGGAACAT